TTCCCCTGAGACAGAAAGAGAGGCAGTAACAGAGCCAATTTTTTCCTGTGGTGGGCAACGCTTGAAGCGCTCCAATCCAACAAACGGCGATGCTGTCATCCTGTTGCTTCAATGTTTCTGGCCCCATGTGTGCAGACACACATTGTGACAAGACTTGGCTGGCTTGAGTGATTAATTCATGCATGCATGACAGCTGGGAGGAAGATCATGTCAAATTTGCCGTCATGTAAAGGGGCTTGGTTATTTTTTTTAAATATGACTTTCTTGCTTACATCTTCGTGTTAGTGACAATTTAATAGGTCTTAAAGAGTTATTTCCTAGTATTACAGGCAAAAGTATCATAAAAAATATTTTAATTCAGAATCCGATTGAGTTTCAGCTAATTAGGCTTCGGATGAATATTACTACCTTGTGAATGTGACAGTATCTTGCAGTCTGCAGTCACATTAATTGCAGTGTTAAAATGTATTTCTCTGTATAACTATGATAGGCTGGGCAGCTGTGTAAAGGCTGACAAATTAAATTACTCTCTAAAGGCCTGTCTCTAATCCTAGACTAAGACTGAGAACAAAGCGTTTCATTGCACTGCGTGAAATGAGAGAACAGGCATGTATCACTTTCTAAAAATGCACTGATTTCAACCGACTCAAATAGTTTTTATACCCATAAGAAAAAGGCAACTTCAAAAACATGAGGTGCCTGTAGCTATAAACTGAACATCTTTACCTCTGGGTGCACTGATGACTTGGTAAGATAGCATCTGGTAAAGTGACTTTGTTTCTGTCCAAAGGGTTTTGGCCTTGTCCCGTGTGGTTGACTGCTCGATTGGCAAAAAGGACATCATACTCCACACAGTTGACAAGGAATGTAGTGAATGTGACAACAAACAAAAACTGACTGGAAAAACGAGAGGGGGGAAAAAAGAAGAAATAGAGTTTAACTTTCATGAATGTAAAACATGAGGAATCACCAATCAAAACATGAACAACGGCAACTGATGTTGGTAAAATGCATAAAAACTTGCAACTGCGTTTAGTCACATCACAAACAGTACATTCTGACAAGCAATTATTGAACTGCAGAGAGAAAAAAAGAATTAAACATCTTGACAAAATATTTTGAGGTGCATTTTGACAATAAATGTTCAATATTTATTGATTTCCATATGAAATTATGCCAAAAAATTAGCTTTACACACCTCTTAAACTAAGACATAGTTTCCATATGTATATGTAGTTGCTGTTAATAACTTTAAAAGTAAACTTATTCTTGCTAAAGCCTCTGGCACAGTCATGGCCACATGACAAACTACCAGTGTCATAAATGAGGCCAAGTCTAATTGAAAACAAGCATCCTGTTTTTTTAGCATGATGCCATATCTTATGACGCAATTTACAAGTGTCTAAACAACTTAATACTTACACAAGTTCAAAGAATTCAGACAACATCATACAGGCAAAGCCATTCTTTTGGTGAAAGTGATAGATGTAGACAGTGTGGTTAAGGAAAATCTCTTGGTATCGTAACATAAAAATTGGCACAGAGACATCACATATGTTGACAATTTACCAGTAATCTCTGCAGGATTACTGAAAATATACCAAATTAAGACACAAAAAGGTGTGAGAAAACACACTCCGAGTTAAATGAAGATTAAATTCTCAAAGTAAGACAAAAAATGTATATCGTAATGTGAGTGAAGCTCCTCAAACCCTGAAATATGAAGCACAGAACATTGTGTTGTTGTTGCTACTTAAACAGAGCTAATTTTTTTTTATAATAATCAGGATGACAAGATAACCCACATCTGCGAGACACAAATCATTTATGATCACTTGCAATTCTAAGGTATATGACAAAATTTCAGTAATTTTCAAACCAGACCGTTTATCTTCTGTAAATGAACCTGGGGAACTTGTTCAACTTTATGCCATGAGGTTCCTTGTTTCGCAATCTGTCAGTGGTAAACATTATGCAATTCAGTATTAAAACAAACTGTGAACACTCGCACTTGTGCTGGAAAGATGAGACATAAAAGGATATTCTTGTAAAGAAGTTATCCAAGTTCTTTATATGATGCCATGAGTCTGTAAATAAAAAGTATGCACCATTATAAATCCCCAGTGATGAAACTTCTGCACATCAAACACATTCAAATGACTGTCTAGCAGTATTTGCAAAGTAAGAAACGTCAAAAGTACATAAACACATTTAATCTGCTTTTTTATAAACGTGTTTACCTTTTAGACTTTCAGGTACATGCAGCAGTAAATCTTCCTCTCCTGGAGGGGAGTCTTCCTCGAAGTCCTCAATCCTCTGATACTCCTGATAAGCTTCAAGATTAGCCATTGTGCTTCATATTCTTCATTCACTCCGAACTGACAAGCTTCTTGTAGTAAAGACTATACAAAATAATTAAAGAAAAGGACGACCTCCGCTACATTCTATAGACACTTTGCACCTGAACAGCTCAAAAAGAATCGAGATAGCTAGCATTAGATGCTAACCAGCTAGTCTGACGGACAGCGTTTGCGTAACCTTACATGATACGACGTCAAATGCTCCGATGAAGTAAAAATTCAGTCCATTGAGCTTCGGTAGGGTTACTAGTGAAGGACGGTCACATTTATAAAAGATGACAATCAAAGCCGAGAGTCTGGAAGCCGGTTAGCATGTGGATGATTCAGCCTCTGTAGTCAGGGTGACACGGTTTGTTTTGTTCCCGACTTGCTCTCTCGCGAAGATCTTCACTCTTCTTTGATTTGAGTCCTCGCCAGAACTCGTTTGACGCTTCCTGAATTGTTTTACCAACGACCGGGGATTCTGCCGTCCGTCAGTTCGTTGATTTCCAAAAATATAAACCACACCATAAGCGTGGCTACTGTTTTTGTCTTTCACAAACAAATGTCAACAAAACACCATCTCTGCGTCACTTCCGTTTAGACGCTGCGTCATTTCCGAGTGCAGTTGTAGTTTTTTCATAGCATTTCTGTTAGAAGTACTACAGTACGGTTCTCTTTTTGTTTTACTCTAACAAAGGCACACAAAGCACCTAAAAATATCAGTAAACTTAATAATATTTTATAGAGCAGTATTTTGTTCTCACAAATTAATTTCAAAAATAAAATTTAAATAAAAAAAATGTTTTAAATAAATTTTCAAAAATTGTTCAAAACATACTGAACGTTATTATTGATATTGTTTATCTTATTTCTTTATATAGTGTTTTTAACATTTAGAAACATTTCTGTGAAATCTTTTTTTTTTTTAATATTTTTATCTGTTGCTGCTGTTGCTCCCATCAGTGGGACGCTGTTTCTATTCTATTCTATTCTATTCTATTCTATTCTATTCTATTCTATTCTATTCTATTCTATTCTATTCTATTCTAAAATATACTCGACAACCTCTTCTTCACTAACGTCATTCGGCGTGAATATGAATATTTTACTCAGCTAAGCGAAATCTTTCTTTTAAGAAAGCAAAAAAGAAGCAAAAAAGTTGAAGACTAACCGGATTTTTTTTTTTACGAACTGAAGGAGGCAGCAACACACCAAAGCTGTGTCTAGTCTCCCGGAAATAAACCGACGAAGAAGAATTGAGTCCGCGTCATAATATGGCAGCCTGCTTAGTACAGCTAGGTCAATGAATAGCTTAACGATTATCTTAACTTAATGAAGTGTTTGTCGTTAAAAGAAGTATAAATCATGTTTCGGATGCTTTATTGTAGATTGGGCACCACTGCTCCTTCACGGTCACTATCGTTTTACTCGCTTTGCAATAAAACAGGAGTTAAATTAAATCTCTCACGGTAGGTTAATCTGGACTAATAGCTAGTTTAGCTATGCCTGGAGATTTGTTAGTAGTGTAAACTGGATGTTAGATAATACTGAAACACTTAAACCGGCTTCTATGTGCAGACACAATCGGAGAGTACTGACTAGTTTTCAATTCTATAATCTAGCTCATTGAATAGAGTTTTTAAAATTATTAGTAATAAATATTTAACAGTATTATACATTCAATTTTATTTGTATAGTGTCCATTCAAATAAAGATTATCCAAATAAATGAATTTAAAACATTTTAATTACATGAGTTGTTCTGTTCATGTCAAATGTATTTAATTTGCAATCAATACACCAATTAAATAGTTTCAAGTCTGATTGTTTTAATTCAGGCCAAATAAATGAGCACCACTTTAAATTCAATTTAAATCCACACAGTCTAGGTTAGTGTTTAACATTTTTAATTGTATTTAATTAACAAAATAATACATTGCATCAAATCTTCACTTTAATTCAGTCGTCTGTCCTGATAAATGCCTGTTGGCAGGACAGGCAGACTTGTAGTCACAGACTTCGGAAAGGCTAAAATCATTCAATTAGCCTTTCAAAAATAATATTCTTCATTGATACTTTTTAATTATTAGCTTTTAAAACTACATGTTTCAGTTCAGTAACAGCTATATCTTGTGGTTTAGTATATTCAGCCTTGAACTGTATTAATTTTCTGTTTTTATCCAGGTGGTATACATCTCCAGGGTCTCATACTTCCTCGCAGCAGTCTGGCAGTACTGCGAGTCGCATTTGGAGTCTTACTCAGAGATCCATTCGCCAGTCTTCTACTCGATCAACTAAATCCCCAAGTTTGAAATTCATCCTTGGACCTGCAGTGCTTGCAGTCTCAGCACGCCTATTTTTCCACATAGCACAATGTGAGGCAGATGAGAATAACAACATCTTAGTGGAAGTTGCATCCAAACACCCAGAGCCTGAGTTCAAATGGCATATTCTGTGGGAATTTGTCAAGCCTCAGTGGTATGCTCTTGTTGGTGCTGTCATGGTAAGCATCAAAGATGGTGTCAAACTTACAAAATATAAAATGCAAGTAGATTAAATATGTTTATCTTTTCAGCTTGCTTTTGGTGCTGCTATTTTAAACATTCAAATCCCACTGATGCTTGGGAACCTGGTGAATGTTGTTGCACAATATCTCAGAGAACAAACGGGGAATTATTTGACTGAGATAAAAGGACCTGCCCTGAAACTACTTGGATTGTATGGCATCCAAGTAAGTACAAAATAAATGTACCAAAATATGGCAGGCACAGTTGGTTCTATTATTAAAATTTGTTAACTTTTTTTTAATTATTCCATCTAATAACCTGTTAAGTGTATGTGGATGTCTGTAGCAATTGTGCAGTCTCCTTTACTTGCCGTCATTCAGATGAAATAATCATGCCAATATAGAAATGTCATAACTAAAAAAAAACAAAACGTTTTATTGTTCTGGTCATTTATCATCTCCTTTGTGCAGGGCCTATTAACAAGTGGCTACATCATCCTCCTTTCAAGGGTAGGAGAAAGAGTGGCAGCAGACATGAGAAAGACCCTATTTGCATCCTTGCTGAGGTATTCCATAGGTTTTACTTAAAGATACATATTTATGTAAAAAAAAAAATCATAAAAAAGCAGGTTCAGTGTAGTTAGTATGCTTCCGTTCAAACCTTCATCCCAAAAGTTTATAATTCAGTTATTTTATTTTTTTTCTTGTTGTTGTTTTTTCAGGCAAGATGTGGCTTTTTTTGATGCCAATAAAACCGGACAGCTGGTAAATCGTTTGACTGCCGATATTCAGGAGTTTAAATCATCCTTTAAATTGGTTATTTCTCAGGTATTACCACAAGCACGACTCAGTATTTTAACGTACATTTCTTCAAAATGAGTCTCCTAATTTTCTCTCGTTTTAAAAATGTCTTGTATATTTTTAGGGTCTGCGGAGTATCACACAGACAGTCGGGTGTTTTGTGTCCATATATATCATCTCCCCAAAACTCACAGGTTTGACTTTGGTTGTCCTCCCGTGTCTAGTGGGAGCAGGGGCTCTTATTGGCTCGTTCCTGCGCAAATTGTCTCGTATGGCTCAAGAACAGGTGACACCAACCGTCTTTTAAGTTAAATTTAGTTTTTTATGTAGATTTATGTAAATGCACTGCTGAAAATCAACAGTTAAAACAAAAAGACAAGAGTTGCAGCTATTTTTTTATCCTCAAAATGTGTTTTTATTTGCCGTCTGACTGGATGTTGAAATCAAGGTAGCGAAAGCTACAGGAGTGGCAGACGAGGCTCTGGGTAACGTACGCACAGTGAAAGCTTTTGCCATGGAGGAACGAGAGCTCCAGTAAGTTCAAGTGCCTTGTGTAAAAGTTGTAATAATTTATAAATATTTTAACAATTATGATTGTTTCCCTTAGATTGTATGAATATGAAGTTGACAAATCATGTGAAATGAATGAAAATCTTGGCACTGGGATTGCCATTTTTCAAGGCTTGTCAAACGTCGCCCTGAACTGTGAGTGCGTTTTCATTAGTATCGCTGTTGGACACAATGTACTGTAGTTCAGACTGTCTGTAATGTTGATGTGCTGCATGCCATTCACACAGGCATTGTTCTTGGAACTATTTTTGCTGGAGGGACTTTAATTTCCAACAATGAAATATCTCCTGGAGATCTCATGTCCTTTTTGGTGGCGTCTCAGACTGTTCAAAGGTATATGTCCTGCAGTGATTTTTATTCTACATTATTTATAAATGAATCATGCATTCGTTGAGAAGTAACTCATTTCAATGTTTTCATGCGCAGGTCCTTGGCAAGTATCTCCATCCTCTTTGGACAGGTTAGAAAAAAAGTTATATATAGTTTATACATTGTTTTAATTGTAGCATCATTGTTTTCTCTGAAATGACTTTTCATTTGGAATTAAGCTGATACTCTCTTACATTTATTATAGGTGGTGAGAGGAATAAGCTCTGGCGCTCGGGTCTTTGAGTACCTTTCTGTGCAGCCTACCATCCTTCTCTCTGGGGGAAGCCGTATCCCCTACCATTCTATGATGGGAAGAGTCGACTTCATGGACATTTCATTTAGGTTTAAATCTTATTAAATCCAACTACATTTACATCTAAATACATTTATAGACTTTAGCTGAACCAAGTCATAAGAGGATAATAAATATGTGCTCCTTTTTTGTATATTTATAGTTATCCGACAAGACCTGGCCACGAAGTCCTAAAGAATTTCACCTTAACGCTGCCACCTGGAAAAACTATTGCTGTTGTTGGTGAATCTGGAGGAGGTAATTTTAGATAACTAGTAAGTTCCTTTGACGGGGACTGCCAGGCTGCTGCCAATTTAAAAGTTTGATTTGACAGTACTGTGTGTTGGGGTTTGCTCTCAGTTACCACTTTACCATGTTGCAACTGATTAGCTCTAAAAATGGCTGAGTTATTGTATTTATTCATTTTGAGCTAAGGTGGCCATCTTTGAGTTTTGATTTGGACTCACTATGTGATGGGGAATGTTCTCAGCTGTAACCTCACCAAATTTCAGCTCTATATGTATAAAAATAGTTGACTTGAAGCCGTTTAAATGTAAGTCAGGTGGCCATCTTGGATTTTATATTTGCAGTACATGTAAATTCGGTCTCAGCTGCAACCAGAACAAATTTCAGCTCAATTTCTCAAAGAATGACTGAGTTATAGCAGTTAGATGCAGTTAACCTCTTTTGACTTCCATCAGGCATTTTCAATTCAATTCAGTTTATTTATATAGCGCCAAATCACAACAAAGTTATCTCAGGGCACTTTACAGGAACATTCACATACATAAAAGCCAATTAGTCAAGTTGTCTATCTAAGGAATCCAGCAGACAAGTTGAATCTTGGCTTCGTTGCAGTCTCCCATCCTGAGCAAACACAGTGGCAACAGTGGAAAGGAAAAACTCCCTTTTAAAAGGAAGAAACCTCCAGCAGAACCAGGCTCAGGACAAGCGACCATCTGCTTTGACCGGCTGGTTGAGAGGACAGGAAGGAGAGACAGACCAACACAGAATGGTAGGTCCAGGTATAGGTCCAGTTGTACCTGAAAGACAAAAAAACACATGTAAGGAAAGAAAAAATATTACAAATACAAAACAGGTTGAGTAGAGAAAGTAAAGACAGTAGCAGAGTGAAAATTGTGGTCAGTTTGTCCTCCAGCAGTCTAACCCTATAGCAGCATAACTAAGGGACAGCTCAGGAAACCCAAGCCAACCCTAACTATAGGATTTAGCAAAAAGGAAAGTCTTAAGCCTAGTTTTAAAACTGGATAATGTGTCAGCCTCACAGACAGAGATTGGAAGTTGGTTCCACAAGAGAGGAGCCTGATAACTGAAAGATCTGCCTCCCATTCTGTTTTTGTAAATTCCAGGAACCACAAGTAAACCTGCAGTCTGAGCGAAGTGCTCTGTTAGGAAAATATGGAACAAAATGAATGAGAAATATGGCGTCTTTGTTAGTAATTTATGTTGCCATGGTAACTTGAAACGCCAATAAAAGTAATGGCACACATCACGGCGCTGAGACGGTCGTTTTGATATAACATTTGTGGGAGTACAATTTGCGGTTCAGGCCGCATTAAAGTTGGCGGAAGAGTTAAGATATAAATAAATAAAGTTGAGAAACCCAAGCTGGGTGGATAATAATAGGTGATGCATATACTAAACCGTCCCCAATTACTCATTCTTAAGTTGGTGACATGGAAATGCTTTAATTGGTGTGTTCATAAACATTAAACCCTGCAGGAAAGTCTACAGTGGCTGCCTTGCTGGAACGTTTCTATGACCCGACCAGCGGTGCGATCATGTTGGATGGGCTCGATATTCGAACGTTGGACCTGGCTTGGCTCAGAGGCCAAGTCATTGGGTTCATCAACCAGGTAGAGACTGTTCATTACAGATGCGGTTTTAGAATTTTAACTTCTGTGTTGAGATTTCACCGCTGTTTTAATTTGCTGTTTAAAGGAGCCAGTTTTGTTTGGATCTTCTATCATGGAGAACATTCGCTTTGGGAAGCCTGAAGCCACAGACGCTGAGGTCGTAAACGCAGCAAAGCAGGCCAATGCTCACCGCTTTATCACAAGTTTCCCAGAAGGTTATAACACCATGGTCGGTACGTAGTTTCATTTAAGCTTTTATCAATTGATTGAGATTGTATTGCTTGCAAATTCTGAACTTAGGGTTTCTAAACACAGGGGAGCGAGGCGTGACGTTGTCAGGTGGTCAGAAACAGCGCATCGCCATCGCCCGCGCCCTGATCAAGAACCCGAGCATACTGGTGCTGGACGAAGCTACCAGCGCTTTGGATGCAGAATCTGAGCGAGTGGTGCAGGAAGCTCTGGACAAAGCCACAAAGGGTCGCACCGTGCTCGTCATCGCCCACAGACTGAGCACCATTCAAGGGGCCGACTTCATCTGCGTGATGAACAACGGCTGCATTGTGGAGGTGCTTTTGCCTCGGGCTAAATGTTTCGGCTAATTTATGAAAACAGCTTGCAAGTTCAAATAAGCACCGAAAAATATATTTGTATCAGTTTTTAGACGTTTGTGCTGGGAAAACTGGTAATTCCCATCTATTGGGAACGACTGTGCAATATTATTTTTCATTTGATCTAACAGCCTTTTCTTCTTCTTCTTCCAGGCTGGGACACATTTGCAACTGCTGAGCAAAGGAGGACTTTATTCAGATTTGATCCGCAGACAAAGAGCCGAAGAGCAAAAATAAAAACAAACAAACCTCTTCCTAATAGATCAACAATAAATACCAGAGTTTATTAATTATGTCAGATATGTTGCACATCTACCAGCTCTCTGTTAAGTTGTACAGAAGAATTACAAATTTGAGAACAATTTATATATTTATTAATGGACCAACTAAATAAAGCTGTGATGATTTTAAAATTCACTACTGTACAGATTTGAACTACAGTAAACTGAAAATTTTGTCTCTGAGTTTTATTTAAACTTGTATAGAGTTATAAATTCTCATTTAAAATTAAATAAGATGTGACTGAAAGATGTCAGTTTTTCAATTTTTATTTGATCTGTTTACGAAGAATTTATTCTTGTAAATATGGTTTTCTGTGAGATGACTGGCTTGGGCACCATCAGTATTTTTCTTGCTATTGTTGAGTTATTAGGTAGCTTAACCCTTTTGATTTCACAAGAAATTTAATATCTGTTTTTAATCCGTAGAAATAAAAAAATAGAAGCCTTTTATTCATCTTGTGTAGCCATGCAGCCTGTGTTCATCTAAAATCTAGAAGTATCATTAGTAAACTGGATTATAGGCTTGTTAGCAGAACTGAAGAATAAAAAGCTGAAACATATCTGACTTTGAAATGGAATTTATACAGTTAAACAGATAAATTAGCTCATGGGGCAAATATAATTACCATAACATTCAGTCTGATGGCTTCCAAGAACACATTTACAGATAGAGATTCAATTTTTAATGATCATCTTACATGAGAAGATACCCGAGAGTGTTCAGATACCAGGACTAAAGCAGCTTCAAGCATGTTAGAGCTGAAGATTTTTAAATGGAGGGATGGAAGTTTTTATTTTTTTATTTTTTTTCATGGTCTTGTTTATTTTTCTATAATTGTACAAACATTTTGAAGTTCACTTGGGTGACCTTCCTTCTTCTCTTTGGGATATGTCAGTCAAAGAGACAAATCACATACTTCACTTATATTTCAGTTTGTTATTAATACATGCTTTTACCTCTTTTTTTTTTTCTTAAGTCATTTCACTTCGGTATTCTTCAGTATTCACTAAAAATACATATTTATTGCCTTTGTGTAGATTTTATTTACTGTGCGCCTTGAAATAGTTCCTGCCTCTGCCTGCAGTTCACCAGTTGGCCTCTAGGTGGCGAAGCAGAGCAGATCCGCTTCTGGAGGATTGAGGCTAAGCGTCTGTAGCTATTAGCTACCTTTCTAGCTTATCTACCCCAGTTTGGGGTTTTACAGATCATTAGTTAGCTAGCGTTTCCCATCGGTAATTTTACCAGGCAAACATGCAGAAATATGAAAAGCTGGAAAAAATCGGAGAGGGTAAGGTTTATGCATTTTAATAAAAGTCAATACAAGCTAGCTGAAACATGCTAACATTCATGTCACCAGCTTGTGCTGGGTAAGAAGCTAGCATGGCGTTGCTTTTCCATTCATCGGGAACATTAATTTGGTTAAACTAAGCATTGGTCTTTTTCGTAGGTACTTATGGGACCGTGTTCAAGGCTAAAAACAGAGAAACCCACGAAATTGTGGCTCTGAAACGGGTCAGGCTGGACGACGACGACGAGGTATTCAATCTGTTGACAGTAGCAACCAGTTAGCCGGCTAGTGCTAAATCTAAATATATTTCAATTGTTTCAGGGGGTGCCAAGTTCTGCTTTGAGAGAAATCTGTCTTCTGAAGGAATTAAAGCATAAAAACATTGTCAGGTTAGCCTGCTACTCCATTTGAAAATGTTCCGTATTCTGTGTTGATGAATGTCAGTATGTTGTCAGATAAGTTAAATACCAATCATTGTGCTTTTAACCTTGATATTAACACAGGAGATTCTGTCTTTTCCAGACTACACGATGTACTGCACAGTGACAAGAAGTTAACCTTGGTTTTTGAATATTGTGATCAGGTGCATTACTCCTACATTAATTTGAACATGCTTCATATCATACTTGATCTGAATATTTGCAGGCTAAACAGTGTTTCCTATCCATTGCAGGATTTAAAGAAATATTTTGACAGCTGTAATGGGGATCTTGATCCTGAAACTGTAAAGGTGAGAAATGAGGGCATGACAGCTGCTCAAAAGCCTGCTGCGTTTATTGTTTGGTAATGATCGATATTGTCAATCTAATTAAAATGTTTTTGGAAGCTTAAAACTAATTGCATATCATTGGGTTTCCTCTGCAGTCATTCATGTACCAACTGCTGAAAGGCCTTGCTTTCTGTCACAGTCGAAATGTTCTTCACAGAGATCTGAAGCCCCAGAATCTCCTCATCAACCGAGTGAGTGTTGGACTCTGATTTAGCAACTGGTAATCATTGGTTCCTGTGTGTGCAATTTTTTTTTAACTGTCATTTTAACATATTTGCAATGATCGAACCAAATGTAATACATTGTGACTTTTTTTTAATACGAATCTAAATATATTCATTAGTAATTCATTGTTGAATCCAGTGCATAGCAGAGGCCTAGCTACATGCTGTGCTAAAAATCACTAGTTGTTTTTTCATTTGCAGAATGGGGAATTAAAGCTCGCAGACTTTGGTTTGGCTCGAGCATTTGGCATTCCTGTGAGGTGTTACTCAGCAGAGGTACGTTGTGCATATTTAACACAGCACATACCAAAACAAAAATGAAATATGGCAATATGAAATTGCATATTATTGGTACCCTCTTGTAACAGAATCAAGTCAAAAGATTTTTCAAGGGGGATTTAACTAATTAGAGTTTATTCAAAGGCAGTCTACAAACTGTGACTGGAACTAATATTCTACAGTAAAATTCCCATGCTCAACCTTTGTTTTAAAATGATATAACAATACAAAAAAAAAATCAGAATACAAAAAAAAAACCAGTTTGCTAGTGATAAGACGGCCTCCGGGGCCCGCACTCTCCCTCATCAACTCCTCTGAGGCAGCCTTGCCAAAGTGCCAAATACAAAAAAAATCTTTATTTGAAATATTAAGAAGAAAAAACATCATCAGCAATCTTTTGAAATCATGTTGACAAGTTCACACTATGATTTTAAGCTAGTATACTCTTGTATCTCTTTACCTTCAGTATTCATGCCCACAGTTGTTGGATCACTGTTTTGTGATGCAATTGTTTTTTTTGTTTTTTAGCATTTTTTTAAACCAGAATTAATCTGTTAAGCTCATTGCTGAAGATAATGGAAAATTTAGAAGATTGTGAGATTTTATAAATAATGCTGTTCAAAGAAAAATGATAAAGCTTGATTTATTTGGGGGTTCTGGTTGGTTGACCTAAGGTCCTAGAGAGCCATTCTTCTGGGAGGGGGAAGAGGTTGACCCAGGGTGACACTGATGTGAAAATAGAGCCTAGAGTTTGATATGAGGCCACTGTAAAGGTCATTTCAGAAGATGTTTTCCTCTGAGATTCACTCTTATAAGAGAGAAATGACCTCATCATGGGAAGAAATGTAAATGTATATAGTGCATGTTGCACAATCTACCGGCAAACAGTGAATTAAGCTCTTTAAGTTTGATTTGACACCCACTTTCAAAGACCAACACAACACTAATCTGTTGTTTTGATACTTTTATTCAATTTTGTAGCTAAAATAATTGACATTTTCTATCATTTCTACTCAGGTGGTGACATTATGGTACCGACCACCAGATGTGCTTTTTGGTGCTAAACTGTATTCTACCTCTATTGACATGTGGTCAGCTGGATGCATATTTGCAGGTTTGTTTGCCATTTCCACAAATTAAGTTACAACTTCTTTGTGTCTCTGTGGGTTTGTTGTGTATTTATTTGGCTGCAAAGGGAGTTAATGTGATTAAAAATTCATATTTCATCCACATGGATAGTACGTTGAATAACCGCAGTAATTAATCACTGCGAAAAAGGCTCTGTAAAATGCAGCTCCGAAGAGCCTAAATCCCCATGAACAAAACTGAATTCAGACGTTTGAGGATACTTGAACAAAGTGCAGCAGCAGACGGCAAACATTTCAAAATGACTTCTGTAACTGAATTTGTGTAGTCTACAGTAACAAGTTAAGTAATTTATCTTTTTCAAATACCACAGCTCTTTCTTTATACCATGTTTATATCGCTTATACCGGTAAAACTTAAATATCACAGGCTGTTTGTCTTCCTTTCAGGAAGAGTTCAGTCACTAACTATGTTTACATGCACAAAATTCTTTGACCGGATTGAAATGTTTTCAGATAAATAATTTTTTTTTTTTTCCATTTACCCTTTATTTATCCAGGTAGTTTCATTGAGCCACAAGAACTCATTTTCAAGAGAGACCTGTTTAGGGAGCAGATGGTGGGGGTTAAGGGCCTTGCTTGGGTGGGGCGAATGAGGGTGGAGGGAGGTGTGGGTGTTTCACCTTTTCCACCCACATTTTGATGTTGACGGTACCGGGAGTTGAACCTGCGACTTTCCGATCACAAGCCCATCTTCTAACCTCTGCGCCACCACTCCCCCTAATTAAATAATTGAAATGTATCGTTTACATGGGCACAATCCGTTCATGACGAGCGTTTACATGCAGCGGGTTTTGTTCTGAACAGCAGTACTGACATGCGCAGAGTGGTAAACTCTCCTTAAAAAACACAGAAGAAGAAGTTCTACTTCCGGGATAAACAGAAACAAACCTGAGAACCCAAAATGGACCCGCGACGGGTTTTAATGGCGGTGGAGACGTTACTGCACTCCCTGTCTGAGCTACAGGTGATACAGATCATTTTGAGCTGTTTCAAAGTTTCTAGTAGAAATGTTGTGTCTCTCACCGACCAGTTTTACTTCCCCGACATGCTAATATTATTAGCATTAGCCAGGCGGAAATGGCAAAGTCGCACATGCGCAGTCAGGTCAGTTTTTCACCATCAGATAAAAACGAACAGATCAAGCGTTTACACGCGCACCGATCAGGTTATGAATTGGCGTAAACCACCCGTTTCGTTCTGATCACAAATTATTTCGGATCACACTGAATAAACAAAAAACAACCCGAACAGGGTGTTTACTGACGCGTTTTTATTCCGAACGGCTGTTTGATCCGACTACTTATGTCCATGTAAACATAGCTAGTGTCAGAGAAAACTTAAGGCAGCTAAGTAACGTCAGTGACACAGTGAGTGCTTTAAATTATGCTAACTTATGCTTGCTCACATCCTCTTTTCTCTTGAGAATCAGAAATCATTTCCCCCTCCATCATTGAGGAAAGGGAAATCTCCTCTTCTAATCACCTTAAATGCTCTACGAGGAGAGAAGCTTAGAGCGAGTACTTCAAAAGCGCTTCCTTCCTCACACCTGTCTCACATTTTTTTGGCTGAAATAAAAAAGATTAGGGACCTCCCAATCTAATCTCAATAGGGTTTCAATCAAGGCTTGATTAAAATATGCCCACAGAGGGAGGCAACATCACAGGTAAATGGGTATTTTAGACATTTTTGCCTTAGATGTCTGAGTGAAACTATTATAAAAGTTTGTGCTTTGTGTATGGGGGGGGGGGGGGGGGGGGCAACAATGGCCAATTAACAATTTGATAGCCAAATTTACCAGTAAGTCATGCAATGTTTCTTCTCTGGAATTACAGAAACTGAAGATTTGTCAATAAGAATAACCTATTTTTACTATTATTTTGATAAATCGAACATATAAAATGTATATGCAGACATAATGCAGGCATGTTCCTGTTCTTTGTATTCTACACCTCCTTACAACCTAGCTGGGTTTTTTTTTTTTTTTTTTTGCTACTTTTCCTTTTGGTTATCCTTTTTAATTACCATTTTATTTTCAATTGTTAAAAAATATATATTTAAATGTGTTTGCATCCTTTATGATTGTCTATTGTTCATTGTTGTCATCACGCTTGGTTAAAATCAGGTCTCTTGTAAATGAGTCCCCGAGACTCAATGGGATTAACCTGTATAACTAAAGGTTGAATAAATATAAAATGTATATTATGTAACCACAGAAAGAACAAGGTAAACAGAAGGACTTTAGTTACCGTCACAGTTTATTTACATTTTAGTTGCCAAATCATCATCAAACAGATTTTCCTGTTTTTTGTTTTGTAGCGTTGCCCTTAAATGTCACAGGGATCCCTTGTGTCTTCAGTTCCACAGACGCTCCGAGTTCATGTTCATTCTTGCAGCCAATATTTTTGTCTGGCAGGTCCTGCTGTGGTATTTTAGAATTGGCAAAAGGAGATTTAATAGGGATATAACAGGCAAACAGCAAAGCAGAGGTCTGTTTGGATTTTAAAACTGAATTCATCCCATTATGGGCTATTCTTTTGCCAGCTGAGGCAGTGCTGATTACCATTTTGATATCATAAAGACTCAGTTTCTGACCAACAGAGATGGAAAAAACATGGCCTGCTTGTTTCTTCACATAAGGGCACATGTATGTTTTAAAAAACACAATAATGCTAATATTAAAAGATTAACAAGAACAGTTTCAGTTTTTATGTTGTTACATATCTGTTTTAAATTTTCGTTTTTTCCCCCCAGAGCTAGCTAATGCCGGGCGGCCTTTATTTCCTGGCAATGACGTTGACGACCAGCTGAAAAGAATCTTCAGATATCTTTTAATGACTCGAGCTGTACATGGATGGACAAAAAGAAGTCGGTTTTCTTAATGGTTTTATATAAATGCTTTAAATGTTGTCTTTAACCACTGCATACATTGTTGGGTACACCGACGGAGGAACAGTGGCCGACAATGACCAAACTTCCTGATTACAAGGTACATTTATTGATCATATCTGACACTGTATTGTGTACAATAATTAAGATTACTGACAAACTTTTATATTTTTTTTTCCTTTAGCCATACCCCATGTATCCAGCCACCACATCACTCGTGAATGTGGTTCCTAAACTAAGTAGCACAGGACGAGATTTACTGCAGGTACTGTTTTTATTTACCAAATATCTGTTGGGACTTTAGTTAAACTAGTTACTTGCATATATAGTAACCAACTAGGATATTTTAAAAATATTTATTATTTGTGGGAAAATTTTAGTTGCTTCATTAACTAATGTAAGTTGTTTGACAAGTTCACTTGCATAAATTGACGTTTCAGTCGTTAATTTCTTTCCCTTGCTCTGATCCAGAACCTGTTGAAATGTAATCCTGTCCAGAGGATTTCAGCAGAAGAGGCCTTGCAGCACCCATACTTTGCTGATTTTTGCCCACCCTAAATGCTAAATTGCCTCTCACTGAGCCGCAGCCACAGGAATCAATCATCCTTCACTCTTGTTTGGTCATTAGGACCAGTTCTCAACAAGGCAAATCCCTTGCTGGGATTCAAGCACTCCCCTGCAGTCCATTTTGTTGTGCCTCTGTGTGGAACAAAGCTCCAGTGGCCCTGCCATGTTTAAGGCTCTTTTAAGTTGACAGCCTGTGTAATTTGTTCAAACATGCCTCTCAGTGAGTTAACACTAACAAGGGAGGACACTACATTGAATACATTTTACATTCATAGGTTCAGTCTTCTCCCGTTCGTGTTAAATAGCACAACCGACGTGTTGACTGAGTTTAAACTGGGGTTTGCGCTCAGTCTGTGGTTCTGTAATTTGGTGAATTATTGTCGGATGCCTGAGAATAAAGTGCTTGTATATAGTGCGTCACTTAATCACACAGCCTTCGAAAAGATTTAGTTTCTGTTCCAGAACGAACGTGTCTTATTAAATAGTTCTGCAATGTTCTCTTACTAATATTCATCTTAACAAGCCTGTATATTTATTTACAGGAACGGGGAAAATACGACATTAAATCCTCTGATAAACTTTTGTGGCTCAGCTCCGTGTAGACAGTTTGTATATACTATAGGGCACTAGATTTACATGAGTTCATAAGCCTTTTTCACACAGATTTGATCCTATTAGTGTTTATACAAATATCTACTGTATTCCCCTCTCACCACCACCACACGCTTCACACATGCTCACTAGTTTGACTCTTTATTCAGGTAGACCATCTATCTCCCTTTTATTCAGCCTCTGGACTTTTAAATATGACATCGTTGTGCAAGGGAAGCTTATCATCTCCCATCAGTAAGGAGTTGTGTGAAAATGGCTGCATATATATATATATATATATATATATACTAATCACAAAGATTATAACCATCTGTCACTGTGGGTAGGTGGTAAGTGAAATAGTAACATCTGTCATAGCCATCGCAAGGTAGTTTTCTACAAACGTAGTCTAATGTTAATCTAAACGGGAGCTGATGTGGCTCACTCACTTTCCTTGATTTCTCCATTGTCTACCAAAAAAAAAAAAAACTCAGTGCAGACGTGGCAGTAACATGGAGCTGAAATATTTAAAGGTGCCGTGTAAGCATGGGCCATTTGAGCTGCGTTTCTCCATTCACATAATTAAACATCTTTTTATGCAGTAGTCTTAACTGTATAGCTGATTGGTGTAAATATTTTTTACAGACTTTGCATTTCTGTGTTGCAGTTTATTTACTGGTGGATAAACAGACTTGCTGAAAGCTGTGATAAATTAATTTTTGTTTTCCCTGGGCCGCCTACGTCATACTCTGTGTTGCACTAATTTGTCTGCCTGTTAAACTAAACGGTTATGCTTTTTTTTTTTTACGTCTTGTTTTTGTGGGTTTTCTGGTTTTACATTTTCTCATTTGGAACTAGAAAACAAGAATTTTCTCAAAATGCAAAATGTATGTTTTTCTGAGCATAGTTTTACCAAATCCACTTTTTTTTTTCTGGAAAAACAATGCAACTACAGACATTATTATTATTATTTTTAATTTAGATGCTTAGATTCTCACATTTTTTACATTTTAGTTCGTTAGATGATTATTATAAGAAGCTGTTTTGTTAAATCTCAGGCTTTAAGTTTCCTTTTTTTTTTTTTAAATATGTGCACTTTGTCACGAGTAGAGATCAATATTATTATTGTTAACTGACATGCAGACTTATTGTCAGTTAATAATTAGACCAATTTATACGCTGTTGACCATTAGATTGTTATACATATGACCATTTTTATTGTCTTTTGCTATTTTTATTTTTTGTAATAGAAGTGGGGGAAAAAAGGCTACCAGTATTTCAATCATTTTTTTTCATATACCATATTTTTCAGACTATAAAGCGCAATATCAGTGAACGGGTCTGTTTTCATACATAAGACGCGCCAGATTATAAGGTGCATTAAGCAAAACAAAAGTCAAACTTTATTCAACTCATTCACAATAACCACAAAATCGGTTCGAGGTCAGTAAGCACAACCAGAATTAATACATAAGGCGCACCTGATTATAAGCCTCACTGTCGATTTTTGAGAAAATTAAGGGATTTTAAGTGCGCCTTATAGTCTGAAAAATATGGCAATTGCTTGCACCATTAGCTGTTTCCAGTATAAACTTGGTTTTAATTGTGCTCTAGTGCTATACACGAGTTGTACAAAGCAGCTCCTTCAAGTTTTATTCCCCACATTTAACTGTAAAACAGGATATCGAATGCATGTATTTATTAAGAATGGGCTTGTTGGATACAGAAACTTATTCATCGTAGTTACTTTAAAGTAAACTGTTGCTTTTAATAATTATTTTTAAAGTTTGCATATATGTGAAGGATGTGTGCGTTTGGTTTATCATTTAAAGACAAACCGTTTTACTATGTCATGTTCTGTTACATCAGTGATAATGGCACTATTTATTTTCTACTGTCTGTATTTTTCTTCTCAGCTTAAATGAAGGGTTGGTTGGTTTTGCACTTTTGTTTCTGTCTTTGCTTCTGCTGGTAGACCCTGGGGAAAAAAAATGTATGTTTAAGCCAGAAAAGATTCAGTATTCAGTAAAGTCAACATGAATGCATGTTGTCATGTCGGTGTGAATCATTTTCAGATTGTGTACACAGAACAGTAATGTTCATTTTACACCCAGTTTTAAAAAGTGTAGTCCCACAGCACAATAAAATCACCCAGTTCATTAATAAATTATTCAATATTTAAACTACAGTTTGTGTGGTTTTACTAAATATACAGTATTTTGCACAACAATGCTCCTTTAGTTGAGCAGTTTCTTAAAGGTGTCACAAATAAGAGCTAAGATGCTGCTGCGTGTTAAATCAATACTCGTACAATAAATGTGAAGTCGGTGATGCCCTGTTTGAATGACGCAATCCAACGTTGTATAATGTTGAAGTGTTTTTGACTTCTGACAAACATGGTGACTGAAATTTTATTTTAGAAACTTGGCAATAAAACAATTTTCAGTCAGGTCATCTGGACTGTCCAGATGACCTGACTGAATTGTTGGATTGTATACCTGGATTATTGAGCATGGACTGTTTTGGTTGTAAACTTGGCAATAGTTTCAGTTTCACAGTTTTTATTCAAAAATCAGATCTATTGAAACTTAATTACTAAGTGATCTTATAGTTTCTTATATAAAGACAAAATATGAACCTACTATCATAAAAATAAAAAAAAATCTCCAATCCACAGTGCGTTAGTTAACATGATCACTAAATGATGGCGAGGGCTGTTTCTTAAGTCTAAAACACTTGTTTTTGTAATTATTTCCAAGTATGACAACCTCAGGTCACTTAAGTTTATTCCAGGCTCTGCCGTTTTATCACCTTTAACACACAATCACCTTTATTCACAAAGTAAACAAGTTTAAAATCTCCGACCGGTTTGAGTTACAAACGACTGCGTAGTCAAGTGTGTAATTATTTAATGTACAGTTGGATTTAAAATCACATATCTACAATAAAATGCACAGAGCGTGTCGAGCCAGATGAAGCAGCTCCAGTTCTCCAGATGTGTGTTGGGGCAGAGTCCTGATGTGTCCTGTAAGAATCAGTCTTAAAGGCACATTTTCATTTCACTTTAAGCTGCACTGCATTTAAACAACCCATGCTGAAAATGCCAGGAAGATATTTGTGTTGATCAGTGGAGGAGGAGAAAACTTTTGATTCATCTGACTCCAGAAATATACTTTGAACAATACAAAGTGAATAGCATCGCTATCATTACATCGTTATATCTCAGGTAATAGGAATACATTATGACCATGCAGGGTGGAAAATGAGCGAAGTGCCGTATAGCCTAAAACGGTTCAAATGTAGGTTTAAAGTGACCATAATGAATAGAATATCTACTTGGCTACAGCTAAATACTGATGATTCTTTCTGCCAGCTCGGGTACACTCTGCTGTTCTTTTTCTTGAAAGTAAGGCAGGGGTTGGGACAACGATGTAAACATTCTCGTAGAGCTCACATTCAGTTATCTCCACAGTTTGTGGGAATCTTCAGTCATTTTATTTTCTGCGTTCTGACGCAACAATTTTACACACAATCGAAAGTCATTTCTTCAGTGCAGCAGCATCATAGTGTTAACACGAATCGGCACCACTCTAACTGGAATGATGATGATGGCTTTTTATACAATGGTTTTCAGTGTTGCCGTTGGTAACTGTTCAGTCTACATCAATTTTTTTATTTCATTTGAAGCCTCCACAACATATGGGGTGCCATTTGTAAAGTTCCACAGTCAAAATTTAACAGCATTATTTTGGTTTAGCCTTGCATAAGAAAAAACAAGTTTTTGTTTCAGTCATTCACAATGTTATTCATACATTTATAAATGTCATAGTTCCAAGCTAAATATTTAATTTACAAGCTAAATATTTAGTGTACAACTAAATACTTAACTTGCATGTCAAATATTTGCTTAGCATGTTAAATATTTAGCGCCACACTAAATATTTAGTTAAACTAAATGTTTTATGTCCAAGCTAAATGTTTAATTTACAATCTAAATATTTAACTTGCTAGATAAATATTTAGTTAGTGAACTAAATATTTGTGTGTAAATTAAATATTTAATTTCCAAGCTAAATATTCATTTTCAAAATGAAACATTTTATTTCTAAACTAAACATTTACTTTCTAAGCTAAACATTTAATTCTTTAAATATTTATTTTGCAAACAAAATGTTTAGCTTGGAATTAAATATTTAACTTGCAAGTTAAATATTAAACTTGCAAGTTAAATATTTAGCTAGCTGGCTAAATATTTAGGTCAGAGCTAAATATTTAGTTAGCAAATTAAATATTTATTTTGGAAATTAAATATTAAGGTCAGAGCCAAATGTTTACTAAGAAAATTAAATATTTAGTTTCAGAATTAAATGTTTAGCTTAGAAATTAGATGTTTAGTTTGGAAATTAAACATTTAGTTTGGGAATTAAATATTTAGCTTGGACAATAAATGTTTAGTTTTTTAAATAAATATTTAGCTTGGAAATTAAATATTTAATTTACACCTAAATATTTAGCTTACAAACTAAATATTTAACTTGCAAATTAAATATTTAGTTTGGAAATTAAGTATTTGGTTTGGAACTATAACATTTATAAATGTATGAACAACATGGTGAAAATATGACTTTGGAAAAAAAACAATTTTTTCTTACGATAACCTAAATAAACCAAAATATTGCTGTTAATTTTTGACTGTGCAACTTTACAACCAGCACCCCATAACATCTTTTCTTTCCCCCCCGTTTTTTTTTTTTTTTTTTTTTTTACATCAATCATTACAACAGTATCTGATTCGGTGCATTTTATTGCTCATGACACAACACCACAGAAATGTCCCTTTTTTTTTCCTGAAAACTTCCCCATCAGCTCAACTCCAGCTGTTGTAGCCGTGGGCGCATTATGTTTAACAGTGTGTGTGTAGCTAACAACTTTAGAGCCACGAAAAAAAAGGCAGTCAGAACCATAGACGTCCAGTCATTGGCTTTCAGATGATGGCTGATTTCCAAGGGTTTGTGCTTCACATCAACAGTCATCTAATACAAAGACAACAGAGTAATAAAGCTACAGTGTTATGAACAGCACTTCATTAAATGGGTTATACCAGAAGGTTTCACATAAAAAACAAATAGGATTCAGACTTTTTAGTAAATAGTACCCACGAGGACGGAAATAACCGTTTACCAAGAGAGGAAGTAGACTGACACGAGGATAAGAAGGAAAGTTTTGTACGTAAAAATGATGGGTAAATATAGTTTATTATGCTTGATCATTTATACATCACAAAGTGCTATTTGTGACTTGTTACATATTGTGGAATAATAATAATAAGGATGATAACTATACAGTGGTCGAATTGTACATTCTTGTTTTTATATATACCATCCGAAGTGATTTGGGTTGAGGTTCTGACGTTTTGAGGCAAATTCTCTTTCATCTTAAAGTCTTTCTGCACTTATGTTCCATCCAGATAAAAAAAAATCAAATAAAAAAAAATCAAATATCTCTAGTAAATAAACGTATGAGAAGCTCTATTTATTTGTATATAAATATTTGTATTTAATGTTTCACATAATTTATTTTGATGGTATTTGATTGCATGTATTTATTTACACAGTTCATGAAGTTTAGGAATGTCACCAGCCTGTTAAAACTCCTCTTAGAGAATAGATCACTACCACAGGGGATTGTGCTGATGAGTAGCTGTCAAACACTCAGATGCAAAAATTAAAAGCTAAATGAGGTTAACATGAATCCTGTGTCAAATCAAATTAATGTCCAACTTAAAGAAACAGAAGCCAATATTCTTTAAATGGAGTTCAACGCTCCTGATTTAATTATTTAAATCGATATCACTTTAGTTTATATGGGGGGGAAAAGTGCCATTCTCCACCTCCCAGGAGGCTGAACTTCAACCTTCAAACCAACATATGTCATTTGGAAATGCAAACGCTGGAAGGGTTGACACAGGAAACCCAAACTTGGATCCTGTGCTAGAACTTAGGGTAACACTTTACAATAAGGTACACAAAATTTGATTAACTATTATGGAACGCCTCAGGAACGAATCAGGTAGTTAACCAATACTTACTGGGGAACACACAGCCAAGCCTTATTAGGGGGACTACTGGTTTGTTACCACAGAAACAGAGGATACATTCTCCATGTGGGTTCTGAATAAACCCTGGACCAGTGAGGTCACAGCTCCTAATTGTTAAAAACCTGTTGCCTATCCATCCATCCATCCATCCATTTTCTTTACCCGCTTATTCCATTTTGGGTCACGGGGGTCGCTGGTGCCCATGTCCAGCAATCACTGTGCGAGGGGCGGGGTACACCCTGGACAGGTCGCAAGTCCATCACAGGAACACATAGAGACAAACGAGACAAACAACCATTCACTCTCCCACTCACACCTAGGGACAATTTAGAGTTACCAATCAGCCTAACATGCATGTTTTTGGTTTGTGGGAGGAAACCGGAGTACCCGGAGAAAACCCACGCATGCACCGAGAGAACATGCAAACTCCACCCAGAAAGGCCCCTGGACCGGGGTTTGAACCAAGGACCAGCTCGCTGAGAGGCAGCAGCTCTACCAGTTGCGCCACCGTGCTGCCCACCTGTTGCCTAGTGATTACTAATTTTATTGGATTCTTACCATTGATTATCAATTTCATAATCTTGTATGGCTATCTGACTATCACATACTGATACCAAATCATTGCCTGGTTGTTATTTTGTTCACTGATGTAGTGAAGCATCATACCAAGTACTTACTGAGGAACCATTCCTTACTTAATCACTACCTGACCATTTCCTACTGGTTTGTTCTTAACAAACCAGTAGTCCCCTAATAAGGCTTGGCTGTGTGTTCCCCAGTAAGTACTGGTTAACTTACCCATTAGCTCCTGAATTGTTACTGATTCATTCCTGAGGCGTTCCCTATAAGTAAATCAAATTTTGTGTACCTTAAAGTGTTACCAAACTTAGTATTTCAATTTGTGTCCAAACTTTATGTACACTTTTCCTTTTTTGCACAGGATATAATCTCTGTTCTCTTTTTTTTAATGGGTGTTCACCCACTGGTCATCTGATTCTTTTCTCCAGAAGGTTGGTACAAAGGCATATATATATATATATTTGTCAGTTATCCTCAGAAAAGTGAGTCTTTCATTACAGCACAGTGATCATTTAGTAAATAATGGTTTATTGTGGAGTGTCAGGATTTTGTGACTAAGGATTGCAACTATGTTAATTAATAGGTGTCATTCAAAAACACTTGCTTGTGATGTCCTGCTTACAAATAAATAAAAAAAATCTCAATGGGGTATTGATGTAGAATTGACTAACCTATAAATCTGCATGTAGATTTTAAATTGATTCATTAATAGGTCAACGGTGCTGATGATTGGATGCAGAGCTTTAGAAACAGAAGTCCTTTCATTTAACTCTTGGTACTTTCTGCTTTCAGGTTAGTCTTAAGGAAAATTATTAAATGCTGATGGATAAGTGAACACGTTTAGGGTTTAAATTAAGCCACATGTCGACAACAGCAGACGTTTTACTTGTGCTTTATCACACAAGATCAGGAGGAGATCTTGAGTTGCCTTTTGTTTGTCCATCAGAATGGGTGATAACTCCAGACTGAGCCCTCTTGGAGGTGAAGAGGTGCACCTACAGGGCTTACCATTTAAAATAACTAGAGGACAACATTTGAAGTGAAGCCCTAAAACTGAACTTTGTATTGAAAAAGCAGCTCTATAAAGATACAATCATTTGCTCCTTCCCCCTCCTGGCGTTATTTCATAATTGAACTGTTTGTAACAAAAATGACTAATGTCAATAAAAGCATCTTATGCCAGTGTGAATCATCCCAGAAGCCACAAGAAACAAAATGTAGTGATTGCATGTGCACAAATTAGCTCCTGCTCTTTATAACGTGAACACAGTTGTCTAATTAATGACACGATCAGTCTCTTTGTAGTGAAAGGCAACATTAAACACTGGTGTTTTTATTCAGGTGGGAGAAGCTCTTTTAATCAACCATCAGATCAGATAAAAAAAAAAAGAGTATTTTAAACTAGTAACAGGTGAAAAAATAGTTTATAGATGCTAATAACTGCATGCACGAATCCGAATTATTATTTTATTTGTTACTTGATGAACAGTAATAGCGCTATCACAAAACTTAACAGTTCCGAGAACGTTTCGGACACGTTCGTTTGATTGTTCGCTCAAAAATTCCTGCATGACATAAAAAAAACCCTCTACAAAATGCAATAAAATCTACCAAATTAACGCTGATGCCCTTGACATGGCAGTTAAACCTGAGATCTGTGTTGGAAGTGGCCTCTCTTTCTCTCTCTGTGTTTGATTTTTGCGGGATGATAATATTCTGTGTCTATTCTGGCATTAAGTTGTACTATTTTTGAGCCTCCACTCAACCCTTTTCTGTTGAATTCCTAAAATATTTCACAGTTTGCCGTCAAGTCTCCAGATGAGCTTCGGTACACCCCACAGTAAGTCGTCAACAAGCAAACTCCTCAAAGTTGCCTAAAGTCGGGTGACGAGGTAAGATGTTCGGCGTGAATCCGAGGCTATCCGAGTGACTCCGGAGGGTGTCACAGGTGCTCTGCAAAACACAGGTGAGGGAGAAGGGGGAGAAATCAAGGGAGGTTAAGGGAGGAGAGATGCAGGAAGTGATGGTGATGGAGGGAAAAGGTGAGCCACAGGTAAAAGGGAAGTCATCGTGAAGACAGGAAACAATGAGAATATTTACAAGAGGCAACATTGAGACACAAACAAGAAGAATTGAGCATGAACAAAAGACAGGACATTAAAGTAAAAACACGATGAACAGTTGTGACACGTTGCACATGTTTCATGTGTTAAGAAGAGATTTAGGGATGATAGGGTGAGATGAACAAAAGGAGGGAGAAGAGAAGGAAAACAGCATATTTTTAGTCTGCTTTTACAAAAGTACAATTGTAATGTTTTTGGAACCTGAGAGACTTGCATAATTTATGCCTGTACTCTCTTTTGAATACGCTGCTGATAGAATAACTGATGATAAAAAATAACATTTTCAGCAAAAAGACAACTCTTTGTTTAATAAATAAAACTTGACTGCATGCAGACCTGTGATAACATCACAATCTAATGATGTCATCTGGCACAAGCTTTAAACACATTACCTCTCTGCACTGGGGAACAAATGTAGATTCCATGTGGTTTTATACTTTATACAATTCAGTAAAGTAATGTATGGGGTGCCGTTTGTAAAGTAACAGTCAAACATTACCAGCAATATTTTGCCTTTCATAAGAAAAAAATAGTTTTTTTTTTTCAAACTCATAGTTTCACCATGTTATTCGTACATTTATAAATGTCATAGTTCCAAACTAAATATTTAATTTACACCTAAATATTTTGTTTACAAACTACTTAACTTTCAAGTTGAATATTTAGTTAGCAAGCTAAATATTTAGCTCCACACTAAATATTTATTTAATTTACAAACTAAATGTTTATGTCCAAACTAAATGTTTGATTTACAAACTAAATATTTAACTTGCAAGTTAAACATTTAGTTTGTAAACTAAATATTTAAAAGTAAATATTTAATTTCCAAGCTAAATATTTATTTGCAAAACTAAACATTTCATTTCCAAACTAAATATTTATTGTCCCAGCTAAATATTTAACTTCCAAACTAAACATTTACTTTCTTTACTCTCTAAGCTAAACATTTAATTCCTAAACTAAATATTTAATTTGCTAACTAAAATTTAACTCAGACCTGGAAATTAAATATTTTGTTTACACCTAAATATTTAGTTCACTAATTGAATATTTATATTTAGTTTGTAAATTAAACATTTGGCTTGAACATAAATATTTAGTTTGTAAATTAAATATTTAGCTTGTATATTAAATATTTAGTTTGGAACTATGACATTTATAAATGTATGAATAAAATTGCGAAAATATGACATTGAAAAAAAAAACTATTTTTCTTATGAAAGGCCGTAAAACCAAAATATTGCTGTTAAATATTGACTGTGTAACTTTACAAACAACACCCCACAGTATAATTTTCTCAGAAACACTGCACTTTAGAAAAGCATAATCATTTAGATAGTGCGGAGGGTAAATATCTTTACGAGAATCCAACCAACTCTTTTAGCTGAGCCAAAAAAATTACAGACACATACCACAACTGACCTTCCCTGACATGGCAACAAATAAAATTCTTAGTGGAGTTAATTTATCACTTTTTTTGTATTGACCGACCAAATATCCCCACTGAGGAAATGATACATGAGATGGTATGAATGAAAGAGGGGGACAGCATGGGAGGGAGCATCTATTATCAGTCAGGTGTGCTACCTGGGGGCATGATTAGGCGTGACACCAGGGCTGGTTGGGTTCTCTGGAAAGTCCTGGAATAGACATGATGAAAAGAAAGATGGGTGAGGGTGACTGGAATGAAATAAACACAATGTAAAGATTAAAAGTTGAACTCTTGAGGAAATAATGTGGTTAAAGGTGTTTCCACTTCCGTTAGAACATGAATGTGCCGGTTTTCTTTTTAATAGTCAGGGAAAGTAAGAAACGGTTCAATTCCATCCAGATGTGCTGATGAGTAATGGGTAAAATGAACAGAACTTAAAAACACCGTCTAATTACAGATAGTTGAAGTGGAGAAATGACAGAGAAATGAAATGCAAATGTTTGGATGCTTGCAGTCAAAATTCCTCTTTAAGTTAAGTTAAATAAAGTTAATAAAAAATTTTTTAAAAAATCACTACTCCCGAAAAAAAAAAACATGAGAAAACTGTTTTTTTTTTTTAGATGAGTTTTGGTTTAAGCACACAAAGAGATAATGCCTCTCAGATAACTTAATCCAAGGTTTCATAAATTAACTTGTTTAAAGTCAATAGCATCATAAAGTCAGAAAGTAACTAGTATGTATATTTCAGTTTAAAAGCGATTTAGATCCTCAAAGCGTTTGTCAACAATCAGCAGTCCCGTCTCCTTGCAGCAGCATAGGACTTTGAAAATTAACGTAACTGATGCCACAAAAGCTGGAGAAGACGGCAAGTGAAAACACTTTGTATCTTTAAATAGCTGCCCATGCTAAAATGGACCACATAGGCAGTAAACTCTTCTAGTGTGCACATGCACAAATCCAACCCTAAATGAGTCATCTGAACGGTATTATCACTTTTTTTTTTACAATATATTCATGTATAGTGTCACAGGACCTGAAGTACAAATTGCAGAGATGCTGGGTGAAAATCCCACAGTCAAGGACTTAACTGAAAATATCATTTGTATGCAGCATTTTTATTAAGTTTTACGTTTTCTTAGGAAGTAAAATACAACTCTGCCTAAACTAATATTAGTGGTATTTTATGATTAATGGCAGCACGGTGGTGCAGTTTGTAAAATTGTTGCCTCTCAACGAGAAGGTTGCTGCATCGAATCCCAACCAGGGGCCTTTCTAGGTGGAGTTTGCATGTTCTCTCCGTGCATGCGTGCATTTTCTCCGGATACCCCCACAGACCAAAAACATGCATGTTAGGCTGACTGGTAACTCTAAACTGTCCCTCGGTGTGACAGAGAGTGAATGGTTGTTTGTCTCGTTTGTCTCTATGTGTAACTGTGATGGACTGGAGACCTGTCCAGGGTGTACCCCGCCCCTCACACAGTGATAGTTGGACATGGGCGCCTGCGACCCCCATGACCCAAAATGGAATAAGTGGGTAAAGATAATGGATGGATGGATGGTTACTTAAACAGCTTTTCACAATTATGGACATTTTTTGACCAGTTTGCATGCTGCTGCATTAAATAAATAAATATATGTATGTAAAAAGCACTGGAAGTGAATCCTTGCAATTTGACATGAATGGAGGAGTAGATAAAGCATTACAAACTGTGTGAAAGAGCATGTGTGTTGCTTCTCTCATTGATTCATTAGAAACTCCAATAAAACCAAAGTTAAGCGCTATTCTTCTTCGTTACGCTGCTTCATGTTCGTTGTTTACGCGGTATCTCAAACTCCGATAGAAGAATGGTCATTTTCAACAATTTACTCTTTCCACAGCCAATAAATTTGGAACCTGAGGCAGCTGAGCCTGCAAGAGTAACGAGCTCATGCAAGGCAAACAAAAAAGAACAAACTTTCTATTCATTTCATGCCATTCATACAGTTTGTAGTCCTGCTTGACACACATTGTACTGTTTGTATTTTGACATTTTACCATGAAACATGGACACCAACACTATCACGTTATTTGTGCCCGCTTTGTCTTGGTCAAGGTTCAAGGATGCAAGAAAAAGATACCCCCCGACCCTTTATGGCTGAAGCCTATTTACAGTTTTAAGTTAAACTGTGATTTGGACTGTGGGATGCACGTTGAAAACATGCAAACTCCAAACATGAAGGCCAAAGCGAGCAACAATTTGAACCGCAGACTTAACCAACGCACAACCAAAAACTCAGGAACAAAAAATGTCCGCGCAATGAAAACAAGCCAACACTTTATTATAATAGCATCTGAACAGATTAACTTTTTTAATTTTTTTTTAGTTAGTTAGCAGTTCTGGGTCTTTACTGCACAACTTCCTTGTCTAAAGGAAGAGGTGAGTGTCTTCAAAAAGAAAAATGATTCTTCAAACATGACTCCGGGGAAAAATAAATCCATAAACATGAGTTTAAAGTGCAACTGTAAATGGTTTATTTCCAAAATCTGAGTTTAGTCCCATTTTCTTGCTGTATTTGTATAATCAGCCGCTCTGTGTTGGTATGGGGTTTGGCTCTGAGGCATGTGCTGAACAGATGCTGACTGCTAACATTAAGAAGGTGATTTCTGCTATAAATCACTCCCTAAAAGCCCCGTAGAAAAGTTAAATAACCATCAGCACAAAATGAGAGGCTTTTGGATGCAGTGTGTTAAAAACCACTTTGAGCGCAACAACAGGCGGTGATTTAGAAAATAAAACAAATAAAATGAAGAAAAATTGGCTTTACTGCTTTAATGATTTTAAAAACTAATAAAATGTTCTTAATATCTCTTGAACATCCTTGTTATTATCTGTCTTTTGTGTGAAACTGTTTTTTTTTCCCACTTTACCAGTATGGAAGGAGCACAAAGAAACTGCAGCCTTTAGTGCTCTCAGTGAACTTTAATTACATGATATTGGGTGATATTGAGAAGCTTCAGGAAACAGTAAAACATGTCAGTGTGTGGAATAAACTGCAATGTAACCCCTGACAATAAAATAAGTTTATGAGTAATGAAGTAAAGTGAAGTAAGAAAAGGTCAGTCCTCTGAGATTTATCACCATAAGGAGTAATTTATGCTCCTGTTCATAATATAAATACAGATGCTACATTGTCCTGTATTAAAGCAAGTTCTCTTTTAAATCCACGGTTTCTGCCTGACAACTGATGTCTCATATAATCTGGAGTGGCGTTTATTTTTCTGTCTGATATTTGTAATAAAAGCATTTTCAGACGTCATCAGACATGTTGTTGTTCCTGAGCTCATCAGGTTAATTTTACTCAGTCCACTGCATTCTGAGAAGTTTTAAAAAAAGTAAAAATTACCAGATTGTCACTTGGACAACGCTGCGGTCGTTTCTTGCGCAACAGTTGACCCAAGACCTTATCTTTAAACACCTGAAGGCAAGAAGAGATTGAAACATACGGTTAATAAATGTAAAGTACATTACAGTCAGTGACATTCAGTTTAATGGAAAAGTTCTCTCTCTTTTTTTGTGTGTGTTCTTTTTGGTAAGATGACAAGATGTATTGCTGTGCTTTTTCACAAAATACAGTGGTTGCCACCTCACTAATGAAAGTGTCACATCTTGTTTTTCTGCTCTCTGCAAACCAAGGAAGATAAAAAAAGACATTTCAGGAGGGTTGTACGACAATGACTTAATAATTACACTCAGAGGGGGTTTGTCGGACAAAATCACTGATGGCAGCACTTGAATTAGCAGTCATTAGATCATCTGGTCCCAACCAGGCAGAACCCCCACACCTCCCCAAATTTCATCTTAGTCTATGCAAAACAGCTAAAATCTGTCTATCTGTCTATCTGTCTGTCTGTCTGTCTGTCTGTCTGTCTTGTGATTGAAGAAACTTATTAAGCAAATGAAAACAAATTAATGTCACAGAGTTTCTCAACCATATTTGCTTCAAAAAAATCTTTCCAGTAACACAGTTCTGAGAATTATAAAACAGCATTGTTTAAAATAAAATGAAATAAAATGCACAAAAATAAAAATAAAAAGCAGTTTCGCTTTTCACCCAGTGGTGGTGTTTAGGTGTTTAGGATTCACTTGAGCCATTTTCATACAAAAATTGCTTCTTTGAAGCACAAATATACTTTAGATGATGCATCCAAGTAAATCCAATATTGATACCAAAATAAAAGATAATCAATTATGACATTCAGATGCTTCATCCACTATTCCAGTTTTCACCATCATGTCCTGTATTCACAACTCTATCAAAAATCCACACAGGAGTACAACATTCAGGGCTTAATTTGAGCCAGGATCCAGCCAGAATAGGATTTGGTAAAACTCAGTGCTTACTAATAATAAAGTTATGAACAAATATGACTGCCTTGAATGAATAAAACCTATATTGGATATGTAAACTGAAAATAATTACATAAACACTCATTTTAAACACAACAGCCACTTACGAACATCTTAACATCACATACGAGCTGCCCCTTCAAGTAATCATGTCCGCTTCTGCCCTTAAAAAATCTCTGCCCCTAAAAGTCCAAAGTCATTGTGCAATTTTATAAAAAAAAACTCAAAAGTGTAATTAAATAGCACAACAAAATTGCAAATCAGTTCAACAATTTAAGTGGGTCGTTAATAAAATTTTGAATATTATATACAACGAGATAAATGTCAAACAACAGTGCTAAATTGTCAAAATAACATTGAACAAAATGTTGAAAAGACAGTCAAATTTAGTTTAAATTTTAAAAAGGCTTCTCGTTGTTCTTAGTTGAACAACCGAGAACTAAAGCACCTAAAGGCAGTGGCAATCGTGATTGGAAAAGGAGCGAGTGAGTGGTGGGGGTGAGTGCCGAGCTAACCAGGCAGTCGTACGTGGGCAGGAACCCACAGGCAGTCGCCATGAGCAGACGGAGGAGGCGCCTGGAGGTTTCACATGTGGAGTCGGACAACAACAAGCAAGGACAGTGCATTCAGCAGAGAAGAGTCGGGCTCAGAACCAGAGCGTTTACAAATGTAGGTAAATGTAGATGATTAACAACCTGTTAAGATACACCAAAATGCAGGAAATTGCATCTACTTTATTCAAGTCATCCCTCCACTATTTGCGTTCCAGCATCGATCGTTTACAAATTAAGCCCTGATGACATTTATTGTCAACAAGTAAATTCTTGATTGAAAACGGCTTTCGTCAAAAAAAAAAAAAAATCAGAGTTCTGTTGAGACTAACAAAAAGACCAAACTTCACCTCATATAGGTAGTCGAATATTTCCAGTATTGTTAGGACACTGGCTCCAATAAATAGCCCCATCTGACCTCCAATGTCACCTAGAGAAAAAGAGATGAACAGATACAGGCAGGTACAGTAATTGTACAACGATGCGTGAAACCGTTCCCAGTGCTGTCACATCTAATTCAGAGTATCTCTCAGCAATCAGAACAGAATTGACAAAAGTGAACATGCAGGTTCAACTTCTCATCAAAACCAACCCTGCTGCCCTTGCAAGAGCATCAGATTATAAAACCGTGTTCAGCCAATCTTGCAGGTTCAAAGAGGAAACCTCAAAGCCTCAGACGAGAACATGCTTTTTCTTTTCTTTTTTGCCTGCGATCTGCTGAGTGTTGATACCAAAGTTTTTTTTTGTCCCAATGAAAAGCAAAAATCTTACCGAGAAGCCCCGCAATTTCATACGCCTTCTTCTGCTCAATTTTTTCATAATTCAGGGCTTCAAAGAAGATGTCCAACACCAATATATTTTCTCTGCAAAGAGGACAGACAAGAGCACAGCCAGTGTGTGTTACCTTCTGCGGTTTTTCTTTTTCACATAACATCAAAGGACATTTCTCATTTTCTATATAACTTTCTTTCATTATTGTTACATTGAAGGTGAACGATGGAGACTCAGGTCATGCTGTGCTATAGTCTACAGAAAGAAGAGGTCATTAACTGAATAACTAATACTTACCCAATATATTGCTCAGTTTTGTTGAATTTCTTAGCCAAATATTTAGCAGATGCCTTACTGGGGATCTTAACCATGGACAGCTCCTTGCCATAGCGAGTCATGTTGCAGGGCGTCTGACAGACACAGTAATTGTTGTCTTTCTCTACCAAAAAGTCTGTGGATGATCAAAGTCATTGTGATATTGTGATCTCGGTGAAGAATCAAACAAACCTGCCAGCAGTAGTTCTCAGTTTGTGCTAAAAATATTGCCACATAAAACAGAAATACGTTCGCTGCCATCGTTCACTTTCCATGAAAGCAAATAATGACTGAAGCTGTAATACTGCAAGGGGATAATACTAGTGGGATTTACTTGAAATCAGTGAAGCGTAGTTACATAAATCACCATAATGGGATTTTTAAACAATAATTTTATAACATCAAAGTTCATGTTCAGTAATCCAGATTTAAAAAACCCAACAAAGTTCAGTCAGGTCATCTGGATGGTTCTTTTTTTTTAGGCATTTCATCCTTCATCCAAAGGACTTCATCAGTTCGAGGAGCCACAACAAACTCAGTCCCACAAGCAGCACAATCACATAATGGTTCAACCAGTTTGCCTGTGATAAGATTCTGTGGCCTGCCCTCTCCCCATCGAGTTCTCTGAGGCAGCCATAGCTAAAGTTTGTTGAGGCTCATCAGACTGAAGAAGTGTTTTGGATGAAGGACGACATGTCTCAACTAAAAATGAAACCGTCCAGATGACCTGACTTAACTGTTGGATTTTCTACCTGGATTATTGAGCATGAACTTTGGTGTTTTGAACCACTTTGGCTATGGCTGTCTCAGAGGAGTTGACAGGGGAGAGGGTGGGCCCCAGAAACCATCTTATCTTTAGCAAACTGGTTGGCCCACTATGACTGGGCTGCTTGTGGCACTGAGTTTGTTGTGGCTCCTCGGACTGATGAAGTCCTTTGGATGAAGGACGAAATATCACAACAAAAAAATAAACCATCCAGATGACCTGACTGAACATTGCTGGAATAATTTTATAAGTTTGGTTCAGCACTATCTGATAATGAAGTCATTTCAAAATGAAGCTATACTATTATCTAAAGCCTGAAATGTACTTGTGGCAGTGCTGCTGAGTATTTGAATGTAGGCGTTAATGGAAAAAGAAGACACAACAGTAATATTTTATGTTGAACACGATGAAGAGCGTGAGCTCACCTAAAGCTGGGTCGGCACAGTCTTTGTACTGCTCAGGCGTACAAACTGTTGAAGTCCCTGTTAGAGGTAAGAGGGAGGAGACAATCAATACTCAAGTAAGAGGAGGACACAAGAATGCTTCTTTCCACACGCTGGGCCAGGCTGAGTTCATACCCGGCATGTGAACCATCCTGCAGTTGCAGTTCTCTAGCAGGTACCGAGTTTCACAGTCAATGCGGCACGCAGTGATGCTGTAGGTGGAGAAGAAGTCTGACTCTATCGGAGTGGACTTGCAATCTCCCCAAGGCGGTGGGAGGTACTGAAGCTGAAAGAGCAAACAGCACATGTTTTCCCCTCGGCATATCAGCTCACAGGATCACACCAAACGTAATGAAATGCAAAACCCAGTGCAACAGAAGCAAAACCATAAAAGAAGCAGACGCAAATGCACACAAAAACAGATGCTTTCAAATCAAAGTGTGCACTGAGACAGAGGTGGCACAACATGATTGCTGTGTGGCTGCAGCAAGCACACATCATGCAGAACATCCCCGGTGCAGGTCTAGTCCCTGGCGTGGAGCAGAGTACCATGGGAGTAGAGGCAGGTTTGAGAGTAAGAACTCTGACGCCAGACAGGACACCACAATCAATGGACACATTTTAGAACTCTGACAACAAAGGCCCGAGCAATAAACTCTTTACACATTTTAAAATTGGACAATCAAAAATACTTCAACAGATTTTACGCAATGTATGGATAAACGTTATCATATTTTTTTAAATATATTTTGTATTTAAAAATTAGGACCGTATAAAAATATATAAGAAAGAAGTAAATGTAAGTTTTCTAAGATTGATTGGATCATTTAAAAAAGGCATATTTTGTATTTCTTACAGAACCACCCAGTTTAGCCTCATAAATAAAAATTAAAAAATAAGTTTACTATGACGGCTCATTGGGACTCTCATTAAAAGGTGGAAAGCAGGTCCTTCATTTATGATTAACACAGGGAAAGAGAAATGAATCAGTAATTAAAAAGAGTTTAACAGCTTAATTTAAAAGACTCTGTTCATTTGAAACATTTAAACCTTTAGAGTGAAGTAATTTTCCTTGCGTGTGTGCGTGTGCATGTGCGTGTTTGTGTGAGATCTCTAACCACAAACTATGCTTTTAATGTTGTGTGTGCAGCTGTTTAACACCCAACAAACATTTGATGACCACATAAAAAAAAGGAAATAATTATGCACGACTTGTTCAAGTGTTTTTGTATTTACAGTATTTCCTATGTGCAACGGGAACTGATCAGCAATCAGTGTTATCACCACATTAGAGTCTGATTATATCCACCAGCTCTACCCAGGCCAACTAACAATCAAGCAATCTTTTAGTCAATACAGAGTGACAGAGATAGAGTGCAACTCGTTGATGGAGTGGATTTAAACTGGCAAACATGATTAAGCTTTCATTGAACTCTCTTTTCGAACTAGCAGACTCTCATTCTTGGATATACGGGAGAGAAAAAGCCCTGGCGCAATGGCTATAGACTGCAGCCAGACTCTTCACGGGTGATAAACTCTAATGTATCACACTCTCTGGTCCTTTCATAACTCAAGGCTTCAATGGATTGCTCCACTGAGACATTAAACCAAAAGCAAACAGAAGATGCTTACATAGAAATGAACAAATACAACCAAATAACAGCTTTGCTGAGGATAGAGACGTGGGTAAATTGATTAAAGGAAGGAAACACATCAGCTGCTTGTTACCTATTAACTGAATAAAGAAGACAACAACAAGGACACACTGCAGCCACACAAACAGGGTGAGGGAGCAGCAGGTTAAAGTGAGAAACTAAATGAGAGTGTAGCATTTTTAACAGGACAATTTGCAGCATGCAGCAAGCCCAGTCGCACATACGCTACCCTCTGCTCTTGGGTGGAAACGAATGTTTGGAAACCGGGGGCGACCCCGAAGCCCAGCTCATGGAGGAAAGGAGGCTCTGACTGAGAGTGAAGCTGCACCTTTATGCCGGCCTCATACGACGTCTCATCTAGGGGTGAGGGGGTGAACTCGCATCATTATCAAAATAAAAAAGATCAGCAACAGAGAGAATAAGGACGAGGAAGTTTTTACCCACTCTAAGACAATAAATCTGAGTAACACCCATGGAAAGTTTACCATTCAGCCACAAGACTTTAGGAAAACCTGAAGCTAAAAAAAAGCACTTAAAATTAGGTTAACACTAAAATCACAAGTAAAAGCACTCCACATCAAAACTCTAACTTATTGAACCACAAAATTAAGAAGAAATTCAGTAGTTCGGATCTTGTGGAGTGGGGTTCTGTAGATACTTTATGAAGCGGTAATATCTTACCTGTTGTGGAAAGCTCTTTGGACACACTCAGTTTAGAGAATTATAAATCAGTGCTGACCAATTTGATGAGCTAATGTCTTGTACAAAGGAGCAGTGGTGAGATGTAACTAAGTACAAGTACTTTGTTGCTGTACTTAAGAACATTTTCCATGTATCTTTACTTAAGTAGAGTTAAACGTGGATACTTTCGACTTTTACTCCATTACATTTTAAATTAAGTATCTGTACTTTCTACTACACTACATTTCTATAATGTGTTGCGTTACAAGTTACACTCACGTTGCGTTTTTTTGATTTGCTCGTTAATTTGAAAGTAACCAATGGCGAGAGGGGCGTTGGTCCATTGAATCACTACAAAGTGGGCAGGTAACGTTAGACCCGCCTTCAAGAAGAGCTGGTCCAATGACGTATATTATTCTAGTATATATGTCATTGAGCTGGGCGCTCCCACAGCACCGCTAACACACCCAGAATGGATTCCACTGTGGAAAGTCAGCCAGAAGATACGTGCCACCCATGGCCTTATTGGAAGACTATTGAAAGACTATTGAAAGACTACTGGAAGACTATTGGAAGGCTATTCAGTACAGCAGGACAGATTTTATTTCCCAAAAGAGCCAGACTGGACTCAAAAAACATTAAAAACCAACTTCTTCTGAACTTGAACAAGAAATTCTTGCTGCAATATTAAAATGTGTCAGTTCATGGGATGTTAGGACAGGAGACAAGAAATGTGTCCAAACGGTGTCAGGAAGTTAAAATATTGTTCACTGTTGACCTATTACAAGGTCGACTAGACAGTATTTTAACTAGAGTTGATGACAAACTGGAGTTGAACTGATCAGAGCCTGTTCCTTTGTTAGGTCTAATGCTCCTTTTTTCAGGCAGACAACTTTTACTTAAATGTGTTTACTGCAGTTAAAATGACATATTGGTTTTGCTTTGTGTTAAATAAAAACTTTCAAATGTATAATCATTCCTCTTTCTTATTTTGCTTAATGGCATTTAACTCTGCAGGTCATCCCTGAAATTCTGACGCACAGAATCACAAGTCCAAGTGTGAACTGTGTCACAGAGTAAACACAATAAAAACATGCACTATCTGCAGCATTGTTCATTAAAATGGCTCAACACTATTAATGTATTACAGAAAATATACATATAGGCACCCTTAAAGATATTGTAGACCATTGCATTATGTAATACATTCAGGAAGTACTTTTACTTTTAATACTTTAAGTATTTTTAAAAGCAAGTACTTATTTACTTTTTACTCAAGTAAAAACATTAATAAGGTACTTCTACTTTTACTAGAGTACATTTTTGTCTGTTTATTTGTACTTTCACCTAAGTACAGTGTTTGAGTACTTTCTCCACCACTGCAAAGGAAGCAAAGACTAAAGTGATGTAACATTGTCTTAAAAATGCCTCAAATGTAAAAAAAAAAATAAAAAGAATGACAACAATTCATACAAATGTGCTACAATTCCAATGTTTGATTTCCAAATACATGGTAGCTTGCATGAAACTCTATGCGTATTTGCAAATGCAAGTAACAGCAGTCATAGCACTTCAAATGCAGCCTGGGACATTTCCTTCAGAGATATTTCTCTGTTTGAATAACCATGTAATGCAAAAGTGAATGTGGTGTAAAAGTTTATAAAATAGTGTTTGCATGAACCACTAAGAAAGGTTTGAGAATGGAGTTATGTGGAAATGACAGCACTCTGCTTTTTGTTTTAGACCCACTCAGACTAGCTGTAAGCTTGTCAGAGCTAATGTATACAACCATTAGCTACTTTTTAGATAAATCTGTTCAACTGCTTGTCAGCATAAATATCAGCCACTCACACACGGCAGAAACTCAGAGCATTTAATGATTTATATATGGTAAAAATGACATGTTTGTTGGTGGGGTGACCTGGGTATTTTAGGTATTGCTACGTGGGTCTACTTGGGTTTTTCACACTCAGCCATCTTTAGGGTTTACAGAGACTGGCCTGAAAAAGAGATGATGTCCAGTGAGCAGCACTGGCTTGTTGATGCCAGAGTCAAATGGGAATGATCATATTGGATTGAGATGATAGAAAAAACAATCGCTCAAACTTCTACTTGTTACAATCAAGGTCCACACAATTCTATCTCTGAATGTGCATGTTCAGTTTTGAAGCAGACCGGCTACAGCAACAGAAAACCACACAGAGTTCCACTCTTGTCAGCTAAGAAGATGAATCTGAAGCTACAATTTCACCAAAATTGAACCATAAGTCATTGGAAAAACGCTGCCTGATCCGACGAGTTTCGATTCACTGGACTCCACGGTCACCAAACCACAATCCAATCAAGTTCCTTTGAGATGTGGTGAAACGAGAGATTCCCATCATGGATGTGCAGCTGACAAATCTGCAGCGATTGTGTGATGCCTCACATTAAAATAGACCAAAATCTCTGAAAAATATTTCCAACACTTTGTTGAATCTATGCGACCAAGACTTAAGGGAGCTCTGAAGGCAAAAGAGCGAGTCTAAGCTTAATAAAATTGTTGGTTAATGTTTTTCTATAGCTATCTAAAACAGGTAAGATATTTATTGTTCCTAACCTGTTGTTAGAACCTTGCTTTAAAAGATCTGAACTATTAATTTAAGTGTTTTATTCTTTGATTAGGGGCAGCACGGTAGCTCAGTTGATAGAGCTGTTGACTCTCAGCAAGAAGGTCGCCGGTTCAAATCCTGGCCAGGGGGGCCTTTCTGCGTGGAGTTTGCATGTTCTCCCTGTGCATGAGTGGGTTTTCTTCAGGTAATCCAGTTTCCTCCCACAGACCAAAAACATGCACGTTGGGCTGATTGGTAACTCTAAATTGTCCCTAGGTGTGAGGGAGAGAGTGAATGGTTGTTTGTCTCTTTGTGTCCTTGTGATGGACTTGCGACCTGTCCAGGGTGTCCCCTGCCTCTCGCATAGTGACTGCTGGATATAAACCAGGTGAACCCCATGATCCAAAAAGGAAGAAGCGGGTAAAGATAATGGATGGATGGATTCTTTGATTACACTGAAAGCAACAACACTGATAAACGCCAATCAGATTTCATCCATGGTCTAAATCAGTGATTCCCAACCCTGGTCCTTGAGGAACACCATCCTGCATGTTTTAGTTGTTTTCTTGCTCCAACACACCTGATTGTGTGTTTTAATTACTTCCTCATGTTCTGCAGAGGCCTGTTAATCATCCATTCATTTAAATCACATATTTCAAAGCAGGGAAACAACTAAAACATGCAGAATGGTGTTCCTCAAGGACTAGGTTTGGGAACCATCAAATTTTCATCTCATAAACATGTTTTTTGGGGGGCTGCTCTTCTTATTGATCCTCGTGTTCTGATCATAAGTGACTAACGCTTGAGTTTCTGCTGTCATGGATACATTTTGCAGTGGTGATTAGTATACCTGATGGCTGAATGATGGTCATATCTGAGCACGGAAAATATTCACACAGAAAATAGAAACATGTTTATTTTTTATTTTATTTTTTACCAGAGCAGGTTCCCCAAAATAAAATTTGCCATTGTTTTGTGGTGTCCAAGTGTCTTTTTCAGAAGACCAGAAATATGCCTCAATCATCCCATGCTACTCTGCTGAAACAAGACACATTTTACATTATTTAGTTCATGCTGACAGAGCCACTGGGTTGATTACCATTTAGAACAAAACCATTTAAATCTAGCACCATTAATTGCTAAAGCAAATTAATTTGATGTACAGCTCACATATTCATTATTTGAGGTGGAGATTTTAATGAGACTGCAGCTCAATTAAAAAATGCACTTGAACAAAATGTTTAATCATTTTAATCATTGAAAACTCTAAAATTGTATGCAGCAAAGCTCCTATTTGCCTTTTCTGTCGCTGGATTTGACTGAAAATTCAATGGTTACTCTTTGTCTTGTGGGTTATTCTGGTCTGAACAAAAGAAGCACAATCTGAATCTGTTCTCCCAGCAACGTCACACAAGAGCTCCACTGTGTCATTAGATTTAAGTAGGAAATCCATCTGAGCTTATTCTTATGACTTTCCATGAGAGCTTTGTGATCAATTCAAGCTCTACTATAATTATTAGTTTTCATCCTTCACTGACGGCGGTGGAGCCACAGTTAGGGCTGCACATTTTCAGGTGTCAACAAACCTGCCACAGGCTTTTCTTCTTCCAGTGAAATTGTGCGCTTAAATCATGGTCCACTTTTACAACTGGAAAAAAAAAAGAAAAAAAAAAGAGCCAGGTCGTTGCTCTAATCTAAAAATTCTAATCTAAACCCAGCTTTTTGCTGCTGCCGAAGTTGGAAAATTAAGCACCATAAAAACAGGGGCATGTTATATTTTTAACGATTTCTCAGGAAATCTTTAAAGTTCAGATTTCATTTGACCTCTGCAGACATGGTACATTTTGTCTGAATGTAGCTGAAAATAGTTAATCACAAGATACATTCAGTTAGATGTTTAATCGGAGCAAATAAAACATTTTAAAATGAATGACAGTGTTAATGACCTCTATGGGGTGCCATTTGTAAAGTTACACAGTAAAAAAATTAACAACAATATTGTGGTTTATTTAGCTTTTCATAAGGAAAAAAAAAGGCCTTTTTTAAAAGTCATATTTTCACCCTGTTATTCACACATTTATAAAATGTCACAGTTCCAAACTAAATACTTAACTTACAAGCTAAATATTCAGTTTACAAATTAAATACTTATCTTGCAAGTTAAACATTTAGTTAGCAAGCTAAAAATGTATGTCCAAGCTAAACATTTAATTTACAAACGAAATATGTAACTTGCAAGTTAAATATTTAGTTAGCAAACTTAATATTTTTTTGGGAAATTAAATGTTTAGCTTGGAAAATATTTAGGTCTGAGCTAAATATTTAGTTAGTAAATTAAATATTTAGCTTAGAAATTAAATGTTTAGCTTAGAAATTAAATATTTAATGTACACCTAAAAATTTAGTTCACTAACTAAATATTTAACTTGGAAGTAAAATATTTAGTTTGTAAATTAAACATTTATCTTGGGCATAGACATTTAGTTTGTAAACTAAATATTTAGTGTGGAGCTAAATATTTAGCTTGCTAACTATTTAACTTGCAAGTTAAGTATTTAGTTAGTAAACTAAATATTTAGCTTTTAAATTAAATATTTTGTTTATATATTTATAATATATATATATATATGTGTGTGTGTATACATATATACTTTTTTTTTTTTCCTTAAACCCTCGTTCTCCGTTTGACATTTAGGGTCAGGGCAGGGAGGTGGGGTAGGCTGCCTGGTTGGGGTCTGGGCTGTGGGTGGGTGTTGGGCCTTGGGGGGCGATTGGGGGTGGGGCCGGTGCTCCGGTTCTCCCTGGGTTGTTTGGATCTTTTGATCAGGGTTCCTGATTGAAATGGCCGGCCCTTTGCCTGGGGTGGCTGCCAGGTTCTGTCGGGGGGTCGGCTGTGGTTGTGTGTGTGTGGTCGTTGGTGGTGCATGGTGGCGGTCGGGGGCGTGGCTTCACTTTCACAGGGTGCTGGCTGGTCAGCCTGATGTGACATTCATGGTGGGGGGTGCTGGGGGTGTGGGGGGGGGAGGGGGGTTGCATGGGTGGCGTGCTGGGGCCTCTCCGAGCCTGTGATGTGGGGCTGTAGTGATGTCTGATCATTGGTGTGCTGGGCCGGCCTTCCTCAGCTGCTGCTCCCTGCTGCTCTGACCCCCGGCCTAGGGGCCGGCTTGCGGTCACTGTCGGGTGGGTGGGGCGCATGGACGGCTGTCTCTGTGAGCCTGTTTATGTCTCAGGTTGGGTTTTAGGTGGTCCCCTCTCTTGGATCAATTTTGCCCCCCCCCATTTAATGTGTCGTGCTCCCCTCCGGTGTGAGCCCCCCCTGCCTCCAGTGCATTGGTGGCTCTCAGCAGCTGGGGCTGGGTGGTGGGGTGTGTGCGGGCCTGCCCTGGTGGCTGCCTGCCGGGGCCTGGGTGCCCTGGCTCTGTCGGGCCTCTGTTAGGGGGTGGTACGACCTCGGGACTCGGTGTCCATGGCCGGATCCACTCTGGAGGGGCGGGTTGCCGGCAGGGCCTGTGGACTCGTCGCTGCAGCCTCCTGGGGTTTCAGCATTGTGGTTGCTGGGGATCGTCCGGGGCTTCCCTTTGCTTCTCTCTCTGGGGGGTGTGGGTGTCCCTGTTGGGGGACTCCCGGAGCTCCGGGCTTGGGGGCCGCTGTGTGTCTGTGGTTCCGGTCTTCCCTGTGTTACCATTGTGTCCTGTGGGGACGGGTCTGTGGGTCCCCACATCCATTATTGTGCATTTTTATGGAGAAACCTTATAGTGACAAGCATGCTCACACAGGTGTTTAGATTCAGGTGTTTATCAGATACACACTCAGTTGGGTTGTGGTGGCCACTAAATATATCTTGTATTACCATGTACTGTATAAAATACTTTCTAATTATGTTACAAGTATCATTATATATGTTGTTTGTTGTTGTGGTTTCTCGGTTTTGTCTTGTTTTTTTGTTGTTGTTTTTTTCCGCAGGTCTAGAGGCAGACTTCAATGATGTTGATTTGTGTTCTCTTTATCCCTCTCTCTCCTCTATTCCTATCTCATTCTTTACCTTTTAACCCTTCTCTCACTTTTCTGCTTTGTTTTCTTCTTTGTTTTTCATCCCCGTGTCCATTACAGCTGAAACAAGCCCAAAGCAAATTCTAATAAAATGTAATTTATATATCAAGCGGAGCATTAAGGCCAGCTATAATGCTCTGCTTGTGAAAGTAAATCTGTTGGGCATCACTTTGACACTCGGACAATATTTCTAAGTGTCACAATGCCAGACAGGACAAGGAATTTTTTTTTTTAATATTTTGTTTGGAACTATGACATATATAAATGTATGAATGACATGGTGAAAATATGTTTTTGAAAAAAAAAAAATTTCTTATGAAAGGCTAAAACAAAAATATTGCTGTTAGTTTTTGACTGTGTAACATTACAAACGGCAGCCTGTAACCTAATGAATTTTATTCTATAATTAATTTAGAAGGCACCAGTAGAGACAGACTTCATAGACTTCAAAAAGCTTTATATATATTTTAACTAAACTAAAAGTGAGGAGAATTCAATCTAAGGTATATATTTCTACAGGCTGTCAAGTCTACAGTGCATTTGGTTTCAAGAGGCACAGCATGCTTCTGTAGTTGCATCCAATCATTACTCAGCCCTGAGCTGTCAATACTCTAGTGCTGCTGTAACTCCTCAGTTTCATTTAGTGAATACCGAATCAACTCTCATATTCCCACATGAGGAAAATCACTGATCTGCTTTTGCTTCATGCTCCGCAAAACAGACAGATAATGGATGCTGGATTGTGGGGATTTTGGGACAAACACTGAATGAAAGCGAAGCGCAATGCAGTCAAAGTTGAAAGCCAATCGTTAGGTACCAGTTGCTGCTGACATGACACAAAAGTTTGAAAACCAGGGGCCACACCAAATCCCAGCTGGTCAATGAAGGGCGGCTCGTCCTGGCTGTGGATTTGAACCTTGATGCCCGCTTCGTAGGACGTCTCATCTGTGGATATAGCACGCCAGAGCATACAACAACAAGTGTGATCAAGTTCTAGTCGGAAATTCTTTCTTACGTTGTCTGTGAAGAAGATTTTGCTCCAAATGACTCATTTAGGGTGTGGCTTTGCTCTCTCTCCTGCTAAAATCCACAGCTCTGCTAGCCAGGAGTCTTACACTGCTAAATTACAAATCTGCAGAGATTTTCTTACATTGGGGGAAAAAAATCAGGTTATAAGGTTGTATCATTTGAAATCACCTGGAAAATTCTGGTCTGAGCAGCACAGTGATGTGTTTTGATGTGCATGCTTAAGTGTACCATGTATATGTGTAAGTGTAAATATAGATATTTGCTTTTTCATTAGCTTATTAAGGGTAAGTGCTAGGGCAGAGGGTATTAGTTGTTATTTTAAAATGTGAAGAGTGCTAAAAAAAAAACAAGTGCAGTCATCAGAACAAAGTCATTTTTAGGATTTTTACTGTTTCAAGTTGTTTATGAATAAGGCACTTTATTGTGAAAGGTAATAAAATGAAGGTGGTGGTGTGCTGGCTCATTGTAAACAGATTTACAACCCAAGATTTACTGTGTGTTGTTTAGTTTATGGTTGTACAATCTGTGGATGTTGTTGCACATTGTTAACAAAAATCAATTAATCACTCAGTGCAGCTTATTAGATCTGATGTCAGCTGAACACCTGGAGAAACATATAGTCTTAAAGTAAATCACCTTTGCTACTTATTTTAAAAAAAGATATTGAGAGAAACAACAAGATGAAGGAATTTCCATACAACAGGTTAACTTAAAACTGTTAATATAAGACTTGGGTTGAAACTTGCACTGACCTGTTTCTCCCCAAACAGGCAGATATTCGTCCTGCTGGATGTCCAACATGATTTCCAGGCCGTTCCCTGTGCCTCCTTTTAATGTCGTCAACAAAGGGTTGCCATCTAATCCCGAGTTGAAAGTGTAGCATTTCCCATAGCGCGTGTAAATCTACGAATGGAACACAGAGACGAATCAAACAAACAATGAAAGGTGTGAATGAAAAATAAAACCTGTCCGCAGAGCTGTGGCCAGCTGTGCACAGATGTTTTACACGCCTCCATATAATTGTGTAGAACAGGTAATTACAGAGGTTTTCTGATTATCAGAAAAAGAAGCACCGGAACTGAACAGGCTTTGATTGGAGGAGTTGATGAGGGCTTCTCAGCACAACCACCAACCATCAATCTTTATCTAATTTCACTCCCAAAAATTCCCTCTGACAGACTGAATGCACTATTTTCCCATCAATTAATAAAGAAAGATTCGGGTGGTCATGGTTAAAACTCTGAGCTGGAGCTGAATCAATGCCAGTAAAGCTCAGCAGTTCTTAATGTTTTATGTGTTTTCACGGCAAACCGTCTAGCAAAAAAGAGGCAGATGTAATTAATTGAACTTACTTGGCTGTAACTTTTGCCTCAGTGGTCCAAGCTGACACACTGTGTTTTCAGATTTTAAACTTCCTGCGTAATTTTTACAAACTGAACCCATGTTTCGTTAAAGAAGACTTAAATTCTCACATGACACTGAACAGCTGAAGGCAGCAATGAAAAAAAAAAAAAAAAAAAACTGCAACAAAAGACACCATTTCCCTCCAAAAAGCAACTGATCTTGTGAGTAAACATGACCCTGCCCCAATATTTGTATGATGTGTTGTTGCCATCCAGATCAAAATTTCCATTTCCCCCCCCGAAGTTTCCCCCAAATAAAATACAAGTTTATAAGATTATCAATTCATTGCTTTTAGTTTCAAATAACATTCTACACATCCCATCTGTTTTGGACATTGTGCACTGTTCTGCAGAAAAAAAGTTAAAAGAGCTCAAATGCATGCAAAGAGTTGGGGTGCAATAAAGCGGCTGTCAAAATTATAGCATAATTCACCACACTGAGTCATAATGTTAATGATCACAGCTGTCCAACTATTTGATCCAGTTACAACATAACTGTACTGAGCTAAAACAATGTTATTTCAACTATTCATTTGTGTGTTTAGAACATTTCTCAAACACTAAGAAAGGACAGAGAAGGCCAAGCAGGTTTACATCGGTAGCCGCCGTGCTGCGTTAAAAACGTCTGATGGCAAGAAGTCAACCAGCTGAGGCAAAGCTGCTCTCCAGAGATCAGAGTCAGTGTTTCATATCCAGGCTCAGACAGATACTGTTAGACACAGCTTTATGTCTTTTACCCCTGCTGCTTGTATAATGAGGTCTCCAAAGTGACTTGAAACTATCTAGCTGGTGACTGATTTTAAAAATTTAGGTGGAATTTTAAATAAAAGAAAAGAAAGCGGCAGTCACACTTCAGCAGCACCCTGAGAAGCTTCAGATACACGCACAGCTTGAATCCAAAACATGACCACGTCTTACTGACTTCTTGGTCAAGAAGTTTAATGTTTCATGGTTTTGACACTGGTATTAAAGAGAGGAACAAACTGTGAACAAACTGTGATGATTTGATCTCCGTCAGCAAAAGCAGAGGTTACTATATTTTCCGGCGTATAAGTTGCAAATTTTTTTGCATAGATGTGCCAGTCCTGCGACTTATTTGCCGAAGCGACTTATATGTTTTTTTCCCATATTCATAACGCAAATTTTGACTGATGCTTCAAATGTTCATTCATACTGACATGAACCAGAGTACCGTATTTTTTGGCCTATAAGTCAAGTTTTTTTTTTACATAATTTACATGCCCTGCAACTTATAGGTGGAAGCAACATTTTTTCCCCATATTTATAAACAAATTTTTGGCTGGGATATGACTGTTTTCATTCATTATGACGGGAAAGGAAAAAAAGAGCAGTACCACTTTCAGCCACTTGATGGCAGCAGAGTAATAGTAGCAGTAAGGCATGCCATTGCATCATGTAATAGGTAAATGAGGCTATAATGACAAATTCAAAAAAGTTCAAGACTAAAACAACTGGACTTTATTTATTATACTTTATACTTTATTGTTTTTGTCTTGAACTTTTTTGACTTTACCATGCCCTGGATGACTGAGAATCTTCACCAGCTATTAATGACACAATCGGCTTGCCACATTCCCCCACCTTCGTTCTGCTCGCTGCTTGGAGCTCAGCTTCATTTTAATGCACCGCCCCAGCAAAATGCAGCTAATTTGACCATTAAAGTGCATTTATTAAGTAAAAGTTCAACTGAGACACACCTTTGCTATAATTTTGAGCAAACAATTAATTGCTTTAGGTGCTTTTCTTATTTAATTTTGATGAAACGAGCAGCATTCCTCCTTCCTTTTTCCTCTCTGTCTGCACGTTCCCAGAGCACAGAGACAGTGAATACTTTTTAAATACAGCTGATCTGACCGTTAAAGTTATTTTATTAAGCAAACGTTAGGCTGAGACACACCTTTACTATAAAGTCGAGAAAATAAATATGTTTTTAAGTGTTAATCTTGTTAAATTCTTGTTAAAGTCCTCCCGTGCACGCTCCCGTGGCCGTCATTTGGTAGCCCATTGATTTTTTGGCACAACACCAGACCACATTTCTGGGTTGTCAGCGTTGACGCGTAACAAACGTGACACATCAGCAGTGATGCATAATAGATGAGACGTATCCGGCGAAGCAACATATTTATGGATTTTTCCGCCTTTTTATACATATTTGGACCGATACGACCTATAGGGCGTGCAACAAGTACGGCAGAAATTACGGTAAACATTACCATTTGCAGTCGCTAGAGGCACGAGGACCCTCTAGGCTTTTGACAACTACTGGTAGGCGTATATGTTGTTCCTGTACCGCTACCCCCGCTGCCTCCCCCACCACCACCAAACATTGACTATTAAAGTGCATTTATTAAGGAAAAAGTTAAACTGAGACACACCTTTGCTATAATGTCGAGCAAACAATTGTTTTTAAATGGCAATCTTGTTCAATTTTGAAGAATTGTAACAGCAAGTCCTCCCATGCGCACTCCCGCCAATCGATTTTTGGCACGACACTGGCCCATGTTTCCCCGAGGTCAGGGGTGACACATAATAAACGCGACTGGTCAGCAGTGACGCATAATAAATGTGACTTATGCGCCAAAGCGACATATATTTTTTTCCTCTTCATGATGCTTTTTTAACCTGATGTGACTTATACTCCAGAGCGATTTATATGCCGGAAAATACGGTAATTAACAAGTTCCTGTTTTTGATTTACGCATATATACAGTATATATGTCACAGTATATACAATTTCTGGTCACTCTAATATTATGAAACGCTTTATATTTATTTTCAAAAATAGTAACATTTGATAGACCAGCTCTATGATTTACCTCTACTTTCCCCATTTCGTTTACTCAGACATTGTGTGAAATTGCTTTTGTACTTTCAAAGGAAAAAGCATATTTTCCTCATGCCTTGCAGATGTTCAATTAGAAAGGCTAAAATTTTAATTTAGACTGATCTACGATGTCTGAATTATTAATACCCATACTTTGCCTCCTTCATATTATTACCACTGCCAGAAGTCATCAGTAAGCACATCTAAAAAAAATAAAAATAAATCAACATTTGGAAAAAGTTGTCACAGCTATACAATGGGCTTGGTGACAATATTGTATTTGGCGTTTTCTAGAATGTCAGGTTTAATGACCATGTTTGAGCTGCAAAAACAGGACAGGCTTGTCTGCAGCTCCTAAACATCAACGCCTCACAACAGACTGAGAGAAATCGTGCTGTAAAGGAGCTCCATCAGATGAATTATTAATACACTTTGTTATAAACACCTGACAAACACCATCTTTCTTTTCTTTCTACCTACAGTGCTGAAGTTCTTGTGGGTGCAGTTATCACCACGAAACTTGCACTGCAGCAGCATGTCCTCCAGCTGGTGGCCGAGGCGACCCATCATCTCTGTGGTGTTGGCCTGATAATCAGGGGGCGGGGTGTAGTTGTGGAAGTCCAGCAGTCTCAGGAGAGCTGGTTTGTGGCTGTCTTTAAGGATGGACAAGCTCCTCTTCATCACCGTGTGGTTTGGATACATGAGGTCCATCCAGTAGCCGCTGTGGTATAGGTCATCCTTGGTCAGGTTGGATGCACGAAACACATTTTTATTGCAGATAGTCACAGCTGGGAAGGACATGTTGTGAGCCCAAACCATGTAGATCTTGGTGACAACAGGGTAGGACATCAGATAGACGATTCGGTTCCATGACCAGGTGCAGAGCAGACTGATGCAAAGAAGAAAGGCCAGGCTCCAGATGATCTGCTGAGGCTTTGACTTGTTCGGGCAGAAGATGAACTTCACTCCATGGATTTTGGTCCTCCTTATGAAATTCACTGTGATCTCTTTGAGTGGTGTTCGAAGCGAGCTGGGCTCTGCGTGCTGAGGAGCGTTCTCTTGGGCATCGTTTGTTTTATGTGACCCCAAGGCGTCTGGTTCAGACGTGGGGGCTTTAACCATAATTGCGAGTGCTCCGTGATTAAGCGCAGTCTCTCAGTGGCCCCCAGCAGACCACATTTCACTCTCAGAGGATTTCACAAACACCACTTAGTTCACGTGTCCAAAAACTCCAGGTAGCAATGACCGAGGTCCAAGACTGAATAAAAAAAAAAGAAACTGTGCTCTTTGGAGAAAGTAAATTTGATTTACATAACGATTCCTTTATTATAAATACAGCTGAATCACTCCAGTGATAAAAAAAAATATCCAGCACAATTATCACCAATGCTTCAAGAGATGCACAGATGTTATAATTGCAGATGTGAGCGACGGCTTCACTCCCAGAGGTAATCACTTTGAAAATTCAGAGACTTACCTAATTTGATCAGATCTTTCCCTCCTCCATTTCCCTCCCCAGTACCTGACAATACTCACAGACTTCAGTGTTTTTAAAATATTTTTCTTTGTCGTAATAGCTGTCCAGATCTCAATCCCTGGCTTTTACCGCAGGTTCAAGAGGATCCATTTTAGCTCGCTCACTTGAAGCCAGCAGAAAGGGAAAATAAAGCTTGTTGCCCCCCCCTCACACTCACTCTCTCCTCAGTCGAATGGAGAATGAGGTGGAGCTAGTGGATGAAAATTGTTTTCCTCTTGTGATAGACCTCCGATAGTACAGAGGCGGTGAGTGGTGGTATTGATCAAAGTAGGAATGCTTATCATAAAGAAACTCTACGATGAAGTCTGATCTGCAGCTGGTTTTGGATCAATAAATCTACATATCTAATGAGGCGAGGCAGACAGATGAAATTAAAAAAACAGTAAAACACTCCCCTTTTGTTGAAATGTGTCAGGAATATTTATCACAGCACAGCTTGGAGTCAAGGTTTTGCCATTTAAGATATTATTTCACAAATTTAGATTAACAAGGACTCTCACGGTGACTGCAGATTAAAGTATGTTGCTCCATTTGCACAGCAGTGTCAAGTTTCTGCATGGAGAACAACTCAATTTCATACATTTCTTTTTTTTTTTTTTACATTACATGTGTAATATCATATCTTACTTCCTCTCCTTTTTCATGCAGATCAAATCTTGTCTCTCTGTAATGTGAGAATACAACAACTGATGACAGGTTTCCTGGTATCTAGTCATAAAAATATGATTACCAATCCATTATTTATATCTAAGTACAATAAAAAGGTTTTGATATGTAAGAAACATGGAATAAAGTGTCTTGGAAAAAAAAACCTTGCAAGGTCATTTACACATGAAGCAGAATTGGCAAATTGATTTTGTCAGTGCAAGATATGTGAAAGCAATAATCCTTTGACAATCTTCATAAAACCACAATTTTATGAGGTGTTTTTTGTGTAAAGTAATTAAAATCAACAGCAAAGAATTTCAATAAGAAATCACTCCTTTGTTCGGTGTTCCATTTATAAACAGTCCAAAATGTGCATGAAATGATATACAGTGAGTTTTTTTCCATTTCTTAGATTTTTATCTCAGTTTAAACATTAAAAACTCCAGAGTTTATTTTTTTGTCTCATTGGTACAAAATCCTTATTCACAAAAGGCAGATTTAAAAAAAAAAAAAAAATTTTTTTAAAGAAAATAAATGTGTTGGAAACATTCAGTTAGTCAAAAAAATATGCAAGATAACAATTTATATGTTTGAACAAAGATTTTCAAGGCAAGTTTGGTTTGGAAGCATTGTGCATCCAGCTCTAAAGTGCACAATTTCACATTTTTAAGAATCTGACGGAAGTTCGCTGCATGGAGGAAAAAAGTGTAGAGCTCAGCTGGAAACCTGTGATCTCTGATCCCTCAAATGGTACCAGACTAAGAACAATCATTCATCATCAGCTGACAGAACATGGGATTATTGTACTTTGGAAAACCTTTTTCTGGTAGTACAAGTGCTTATTTAAGTGACGTTTGGAAAAGGGCCACAAATGCCACATTTAAATTTACAATGCAAAGAAGAAACCTCCTGTTAACCTTACCCAGAGACTACATTGACTTCTCTGGGTTCTGATGAATCTGGGATGGATCATCACACAGTTGGAATGAGTTTGGTGGTCATAATTAATCTGTAATTCAGAGCTTTGCTGAAAGAATGCCATGCTGTGTGCTTCAGAATCAAAAGAAAGAAGGAACATCCAAACTGTTATCAGTGCCAAGAACAAAAGCCTCTTTATGGAAAGCCAAATCATTTGATTTATACCTCACATGGGCCAGTCTGCCTAAACCAGCCACAAGCCAGTGTATCTCTTGTGCCAGTCCCAAGCCGGGGTAAATAGTGAGGGTTGTTTCAGGAAAGGCATTCAACGTAAAACACTTTTGCCAAAACTATAATGCAAGTTCATCAAAGCGAAACCATACCGGATCGGTCAAGGCCCGAGTTAACAAAGACCGCCACCGGTGCTATTGACAAACAGGGTGCCGGCGGAAATTGGGCTACTGTTAGTCAAAGACCACGAGGAGGGAAACGTGTCAGGAGACAGAGGGAGAAGAGGAAAGTCAAGAATTTAAGACTGAGGGTTTCAACTCTAAATGTGGTGACAATGACAGACAAAGGTAGAGAGCTGGCTGAAATGATTCAGAGAAGGAAGGTAGATGTTTTATATGTCCAAGAGACCAAGTGGAAGGGCAGAAAGGCTTGCAGCATTGGAGCAGGGTTTAAACTGTTTTAACATGGTGTGGATAGAAAGCTAAATGGAGTAGGAGTGGTCCTGAAAGAGGAGTTGGCAAAGAATGTAGTAGAGGTGAAAAGGGTGTCAGATAGGCTGATGTGCCTGAAGGTAGAAATAGAAGGTTTGATGCTAAATGTTGTCAGTGGTTATGCTCCACAAGTTGGATGTGAAGTGGAGAAGAAAGATAAATTTTGGAAGGATGTGGATGAAGTGATAGAGAGTATTCCTAGGGAGAAGAGAGTGGTGATCGGAGCAGACCTGAATGGACATGTTGGTGAAGGAAACAGAGGGGATGAGGAAGTCATGGGTAGGTTCAGTGTCAAGGAAAGAAACCAGGAAGGACAGATGGTGGTGGATTTTGCTGAAAGAATGGAAATAGCTGTAGTCAACACTTATTTCCAAAACAGGGTTAACATAGAGTGACCTACAACAGTGGAGGAAGGAGTACACAGGTCAACTACATTCGGGAGATTGGGGACTGTAAGGTTGTGGCAGGGGTGAGCGTGGCCAGACAACACCGGATGGTTGTGTGTAGAATAACCGTTGTTGGGCAGAAGAGAAAATGAGTAAAATCAGAGAAGAAGACCAAATGGAAGAAGTTGAAGAAGGAAGGATGTTGTGAAAAATTCAGAGAGGCTCTGGGTGGTAAGAAAGAGATTCCAAATGACTGGGCTACTACAGCAACAGTAATTAGAGAGACAGGTAGGAAGGTACTTGGTGTGTCATTTGGACAGAGAATAGATGATAAGGAAACTTGGTGGTGGAATAGTGAAGTGCAGGACGCCGTTCAAAGAAAGAGACTACCCAAGAAGAAATATTAATGAGAGAATTGAAGAGAGGAGACAGGAATATAAGGAGATGGGACGTAGAGCAAAGAAGGCGGTGACAAAGGCAAAGCAGAAGGTGTATGATGAATTGTATGGGAGGCTGGACACCAAAGAGGGCAAGAAGGACTTGTACTGATTGGCAAGACAGAGGGATCAGACTGGAAAGGATGTGCAGCAGGTTAGGCTTGTTAAAGATTGGAATGGTAATGTTCTAACAAGTGAGGAGAGTGTGACCAGAAGATGGAATGAGTACATGGAGGAGCTATTGAATGAAGAGGATGAAAGAGAAAGAAGAGCAGAGGTCATAGAAACTGTGGACCAGGAAGTGGGAAAGATTAGTGAGGGTGAAATCTGGAAAGCTCTGAAAAAATGGAGAAGGGAAAAGCAGTAAGATCTGATGACATACAAGTGGAGATTTGGAAATGTCTTGGAGAGATGGCAGTGAGGTTTTTGACTCAAATATTCAATGACATGTTTGAGGGTAAGAAAATTAGTAAGTGCTATATGTTGTCATCATTGTATGTTCCCATACAATGGCCAAATTAGTTCTCTGCATTTAACCCATCGCAACTGGGATACACCCAGGTGGAGCAGTGGGCAGCTATGTAAGCGCCCGCAAAGCAATTAGGGATTGGGTGTCTTGCTCAGAGACACCACAACATGTGGGAATGGCTGGGGATCGAACCTGGGACTTTCAGTTCCTGAGTCGGCTACCCTACCTCTACCCCATCTCGGACCCTTCAAGGCCTCCAAAAATGCCTGTGGAATAGAGAAAAAGTGTGATGGTGCTTATTTTTAAGAACAAGGGTGATGTACAGAGTTGTAGCAACTACAGGGGAATAATACCCTTCACATCAATGTGAAGAAGACGAAGGAGATGGTTGTGAACTTCAGAAGGAACAAGCACACCTACCCACCCCCCACCATGAACATGGGAGGATCTGCGGTGGAAGTGGTCTCCAGCTGCAAGTACGTACTTGGATGTGCCACCTGAATGGCAACCTCAGCTGGGGCAACAACACCACCAGCCTGATCAAGAAAGCTCATCAGAGACTCTACTTCCTCATGCAGCTGAGACGAGCTGGTCTGGGAAGCTCAGTCCTCACCTCCTTCTACAGGTGTGCAGTGGAGAGCATCCTGTGCTCCAGCATCAATGTGTGGCATGGAGGCTGCACAGCTGCAGAAAGAAAAGCTTTGCAGAGAGTGGTGAAGGCCACACAGAAGTCTGTTGGAGTCAGCCTCTGCACCATCACAGACATTTACACCTCCATATGCAGGAAGAGAGCCACCTGCATCATGAAGGACCCCACTCACCTAGCACACACACTTTTTGTCCCATTCCCCTCAGGAAGGAGGTTGAGGAGCATTAAGTGTAGAACCACTAGACTGAGGAACAGCTTCTACCCTAAGGCTGTAAGACTCATGAATAGCTAATCAGGATAATCACTGTGATAAATCACATCATGTTGCTGCTGATCTGTTTCATGTTGCTGCTGATCTG